GAAGATGACTACTCTTCGGGTGTTACTCCACATAGCAGCGCAGCGAGACTACGAGCTGCACTCCCTCGACTTCTCCACTGCGTTCCTCCAGGGCCGACTGCACGAGGAGATCTGGCTGCGCCGTCCTCCTGGCTTCACTGACACCTTCCCACCTGGGACCCAGTGGAGCCTGAGGCGACCAGTCTACGGTCTCCGCCAGTCGCCCCGTGAGTGGCACGACACTCTTCGCTCCACGCTTTGTGACCTTGGGTTCAGCCCGTCCTCCGCCGACCCGTCGCTGTTTGTTCGAGCGGGTTCTACTCCTTTCTTTATCCTTGTCTATGTCGACGACTTGGTGTTTGCTACAGCAGACAGGGCAGCCCTGGCTCAGGTGAAGTCCGAACTGCAGAAGAGACACAAGTGCACTGACCTGGGTGAGCTGCAGCGCTACCTTGGCCTGCAGATCACCCGGGACAGAGCCGCTCGCACCATCACACTGACGCAGTCACACATGGTGCAGCAGGTCCTTCGGCGGTTCCACTTCCAGTTCTCCACCACACAGCCCACTCCTCTTGCTGTTGACCACAGACTTACGGGCCCCTTTCCTGACGAGCCCTTTGAGTCCAGTGGACCCTACGCAGAGCTGGTGGGCTGCCTCATGTACCTGATGACTTGTACTCGACCGGACCTCGCCTTTCCACTCAGCATCCTTTCTCGCTTTGTTGCGACTGGGAGACACCGCCCTGTCCACTGGACAGCTGCTGTGAGGGTGGCGAAGTACCTGGCGACTACATCAGGCTTGGGGCTTGTGCTTGGAGGGACTCAGCCAGTGGCGTTGACTGGTCACTGCGACTCTTCCTACGCTGACGACGTGGAGACTCAGCGTTCGACTCAGGGTTACTGCTTCAGTCTGGGAGCTGGTGCTGTGTCGTGGAGGTCTACACGGTCGTCGTCTGTGGCTACTTCCAGTGCAGAGGCAGAGATCTACGCTGGTGCCATGGCGGCACAGGAGCTTCGCTGGTTGACCTTCTTGCTCGCTGACCTTGGTGAGCGGCCTCGCTCTGCACCGACCTTGTACGCTGACAACAAGGCCATGATCCTCCTGTGTCGAGAGCCTCGACTGGAGAGCAGAGTGAAGCATATTGACGTGAGGTACTTCCTCCTGCGAGAGCTGCAGCGACGCGGTCAGGCACGCCTGGACTTTGTGGCCTCAGAGGCCAACACTGCAGACGTCTTCACCAAGGCCTTGGCGCTTGGTGACCACCACAGGTTCTGTGTGCAGTTGGGGCTTGTTGAGGTAGGCCCTCGGTTGGTGTAGTCCTGTTGCTTGCTCTGCTTGTTGTGCTTTGTATTTATATCCTAGTGAACTCTTGAACTGGCCTTGTGGCCGCTTGCTTGCGCTCGGAATTTGTGTGGTGTCCTTGAGATCCACCCTGAGCTTGCCTTGGTTCTTGGTTTGACTGGTCTTGTGACCGTTTGTTCACCTTGCTTGCTTTGATGCCCCTCACTTAGCCTATGGGGGTGTGTCAAATGTTGAACATTGATATGATAGGCTATAATGAGTTGCCCTCTAGGGGGTACAGCTTCTAGGGTTGCTCATTTGTACCCCATTCGTTTCTATTCCAATCATTCCGTTGTTCGCTAACTTTGAGACGGGCTAGTCCCGAAGCGTAGGCCGACACGGCCGGGCCAGCTGTGCGAGGTTTGGTGAAACAGTGCGCGCGAAGTCGGCGAAGCCCCGTTAGCAGTAACGGGCGAACAACGGCTGCTGCAGTACGCGATGTTGCAGGGTGCGCTAAGGAATATCGAGAAAATTTCTTACACTACCCCCCCCCCCCCCCCCCCCCCCCTCAAGAAGCCCCCTCCGCTACGCGAGTGCGTGAATATCGCGGAAACCCCGGCTCCTCATGTACACTTGCAGGGCAGGGTGGTTTTCGATGTTGGCCAGGGGCACCCAGCTATCTTCAGTTGGCGTGCGATCCTTCCAGCGAACGAGGAATTCAATCCTCCTGATTCTCGTGGGGTGTCGAATCCGATGGCTCAGGATTTTTTCGGGCTCGATGATCGGTTCCGATGTATGGCGAGTCATGGATGTCAGAATCCCAGCCACTATACCACTAGGATAAAAGGGCTTGTTAAAGCTTGCGACCCAAATTGTTCAACCTTAGTAAGGTTGACCTTTGGGTGGCGGGAGAAGAAAGTTGACTTGTTGGGAGTTGGGATGTGTGCTTTCGCCCAGTTTCGCGCTAGACCCTTGGGGTTTTCGTTGACGCGGCAAACCCCTGGGAGCAACCCGGGTTTACTTCGAGAGTCCCAAATTGCAATCAACATATTGTTATTGTTCCCTGCTCTCCCATTCGACAAAAAATACCTGGCCAATCAGATTGCATCTCACTTCTCGTAAGCACCCTTTGCAACCCAAACAGCACTCAAAACATCACCCCCGTCAACCTTAGTAAGCTTGGCCAGCGCGCTCCGCAATTTGGGCCGCGAGCTTTAAGTAGCGGGTCCGTGCGCCCATAACCCCCCAGGCCAACGTGCCTGTAACCCTTCCCTAGGATCAATCGGGGATCACCAGTGGACCTCTGACACCCCCCCGCACTGGGATGCCCGAAGTGCATACACCGGGATTCGAACCCTTTGAATGGTGCGGCAGCGGCATTTGTGGCGACGGCACGTATCGTAGCACCCTCGTTCGTCCCACGAGGCCGATGTCCCCAATTGCTGCTTCTGTAGGACCCCGGTCTCGGTCGGCGGAAGAAATCGAGCTTCTCCGCCATGGCGAGAATCTCCAGAAAATCGGTGACGCCGCGAAGCTGGATTTCCTGAGCGATGTCCTGCTTTAGGCCGCCGATGTAGCGGTCGATGCGTTCGCTCTCGTGCATATAACCCACTTGCTCGCATAGCGCCAGAAACCCGCTCGTTTAGTCTTGGACGGAACCGAGTTGGCGCCAAGTGCGGAGCTTCTGTCGCGCCGCGATCGTAGCCGCAATTGGCTCGAAACGAGCGCGCAGACCTTCGCACCACGCGTCCCACGTGCGATACTGGGGCACCTCCACGAAATACGATGGCGCCCAGGGTCCGGTTTGTCCTTCCCGTGTCGGTAGAGTCGCATAGTCCACCGGCTTCGTGACGATGACACGCCACCAGTCCATGGCGGGTCCTCGCAGTAACGACACGGCGTAGCGAATCTTCGCCGTATCCTCCGAGACGTAGTTCGCGTCGAAGAAAACGTTCAACGTGAATAGCCATGCCTGAACGGTAGGACCACCCCGTTGACTCGGGTCAAAGCATGGCAGACGCTGCGGCTTCAGCGGCATCGGCGACGGTAGAGCTGATTCGCCGGCCGGCATAGAAATTGTGACTCGAGGCTGACTTCTGGCCGCATTTGTCGCGGGGTGTATCGAAACTGCTACTGCATCGGTCCCTAACAAGGACCGAGTATATTTCGACAGTCACATCACGTTTTTCACTACAGACAAAACGCGCGCGAGATAAAAGTACCCGAATCTGTACAGTAGATTTGAGAGTTTCGACTTTTTGGCGGGCGTTTCAACGAGTGACCAAACGTGATAACCCTGCGGGGCGAGGAGTGATCAAGCGTGATAGCGCTGTGATCATGCGTGATAGCGAAGTACTGTACTGTGACTGTCCGTGATAACCCCGTGACCAAACGTGATAATACGGCCATAATTGTGACTGCGCGTATAATTTCCCAAACAAAAAGCCTTGCAAAAACGCCAGTGCATCTCGAGGACCTATCAGATTTCAGAGTTTGATTTGGAAATACTGTACCAGCGACGCAAACGCAGGCATGCTGTGGACCTTCTGCCCGTGTCTGTCACACTGTACCCCTTTAAGGGCAGCGTTTTCGATATCGAGCAATACACCTTTTTTCTCGCCAGACTGACAATGGGAAGCAGTAGCTACAGTGCGTACTGTTGCTTGGACACTAGCGATCTGGTGCTTGCAACCGAACCCAACGTAGGTGGCGGACAAATGCACTCCAGTAGAACGGTACACGACGGTATATAGAATAACACTTGCCTTGGCGTACGGTTGAGTTTGAGGAAATGTGCATATATGGACGCATTGATGTCAGTACAGTTAGGCTGTTATTATGGCCAATGACAGTGTGGCGAGAAAGAGGGTGTAAACGGTGGGGATGGGAATCGACAAAAGTTGGGGCGGCTGACCATCGCAGGTCAAGAAATGTACGTATGCTCTTGCTAGATTTGGTTGGGTGGATGTTTACATCATGCTGTCAGGCTTCAGAATATACGCAGGTGATTTTCACACCCACCCTCCAAGTCAAGAATATGGTAGTGTAATTCACATCAGCATCCACTTGGTTTGAGCAAGTAATTGCTTCGAAGTTCAAACCAGGAAGTCATTTTGGGTAACAGCGGAGTGGACACTGTAAAAGAAACATTTTGAACTCGAAACCTTCATGTGCTGTGTGCTCACCTCGGACCTTGTCGTTCTTGACCAACAGGCGTCTTGGCATGGCAGCCTGTCTCGGCTGGTGTCGATCTGTGCAGCATCTTGCTGCTGGTCTTCTGGGGTGGTTTTGGATGAAGAATGGGATGGGAGAATGGGATGGGAGAATGGGATGGAGCAGTTGGCTGATCGTTCGTTTTCGTACAGTACCCAAGCAAACCCCAACAACCGCGTTAAAAACAAAACCACCTCGTTGACTCGGCAAGATGACCTTGGTGCATGGATGTGCAAGCACAGACCCAAGCTGTTGGCGACTACAGTAGAAAATTGTGTTGTGGCTGGTTTGGGGAGGTGAGCGAGCAGTACAGAGCGGGACACACACTTCCCTTCCCTCCCTCGTTTCCAAGGTCCCCTCCACCTCGTCTCTCTGTACCTCGAATTGCTGAGTTAGCTGCCCTTGTAGGTGCCAATGAGAAGCAAGAAAGTTATCCCCAACGATTACAGTACTACAGCCATTAGCGAGTGTCGTGGTGCTTAGTGTTCATGCCTTGTCTTAACGTCGTCCACTTTTGCGTCTATTCATGGCGTCACCACAGGTAAACACTGCAGGCGCACACAGCCGAAGCCCGCACACTAGAAACCACCACTCTCCACACCCGCCGCACCCATCTGCACCGTTCCCTTCTGCCCTGACTTCCTCCGCCGCGTTGCCAATCAATCACCATCATCTTCGCGGCATGCTGACTCAGCAGCAGCTCGTGTCGCTCCTTCAGCAAGCCACGGACTCCGACGCGTTTCCCCCCTCTTTCCGCCGATACCCGCTTTCCTACCTTCGCGCGCAGGGAATCTCAGTCCCAGGCGACTTCTTCTGCCCGCTATCCCTCGGCATAATGACCGACCCCGTTATAATCGCATCCGGCCAGACGTTCGAGCGCGCGGAGATCGAGCGGTGGTTCGGCGAGGGGAAGCGCGTGTGTCCGGTGACCGGGCAGCCGCTAGAAAGTCTCACCGTCGTGCCGAACAATTCCCTCCGCAGCGTCATTTCCGCGTGGTGCCTCGGCAACGGCATCAGGCTCGGCACCGACGAACGTACCAACCCTAGTACGACAGCCCAGCTCGCCGAGCCAGGCCGCCGAGCCTCGCTCGATGTCGGCCCGTCGTCATCGTCTCCTTCGAGATCCCTCTCGAGCAATGCCGGCCGCGACGCGCGCCGGCAGTCCAGCGGCTCGTACGAGCAGAGCCCGTCCGCGTCGCCCCGCTGCCCTATCTGGCCCGTGTCGGCCTCGGTATCCTCCCAGTCCCCCTCCGCATCTCCCGCTTACACGCCTGCTAAGAGCACTGGCAGTCCCGTTCTACGGCGCGACTGGAATAAGTACCCCGGGAGGGACGAGTGGAGCGGCCCGCAGCCGCGACGCGACGAGTGGTCGGGGCCGCAGTCGGTCGAGTTTGCGATGCAGGCAGGCATGGCGTCGCAGGAGACGGAAGTGTCGCGCGGCCACGGCGCTGGCTCTCCGGCGTCGCAGGAGAGAGACAGTGGCGGCGGTGGCGGACGGGCGAGTCGCATGCGACACTCAATAGGCTCGCAGTCCATGCGCTACGATTATCCCGAGCACGCGACGCGGTCGCCGCAATCGCATTCTCTAATCTCCTGGGATCACGACGGGGATCAATCGGACCGCCTCCACCAACCTGGAATGAATCCCGCTCTAGCGTACATGACGCCAAACCACCCTGTCGCGTCCGTCTACGTCACTAATGCGTCCGGCAGCCCGTCGGTTAGCCGGTTCTCCTCGCGAGACATGTACCTCACGTTCGCCCGCTCGTCCACCTGCGACTCGAGCTCCAACAGCCGGTCGTTACTCCTAGGCCGGCAGCACGGCACCGCACCGCCGGAGCGCGAGGGCTCGCCGAACGATGGCCGAGCGGGCGAACGCGCGCTGACTCGCGGCGGAAACCTCGCGGCCGGGCGGAGCCAGAGCCAGAAGGAGCGCGCGCCGGGCGGAAGCAGAGCGGGGATGGTGCGGACGGAGGAGGAGGAGCACGCGCGGCTGCGCATTCCGGAGCTCGTGCGCCAGATGCAGGGCGTGGGCGCGGGGCGGGGATCGGGGGACGGCGAGACGCTGCTGGTGCGCGAGCGGCAGCGCGAGGCGGCGGAGGAGCTGCGGATGATGGTGAAGGATTCGCGCGCGAACCGGGAGAGCGTCGTCGCGGCGGGCGGCGGCGTGCTTTCCGCGCTTATTAATCTCTTCTGGAGCGAGGACGAGGCGACCGTGGAACACGCGGTCACGGCGACTTTAAATCTCTCGTTGACGTCGTCGTCGCACGCGCCGCTGATCGGCCAGGGCGTCGTTCCCGCGCTCGTCGCGGTGCTCTCGGGCGGCGCCGCCGCGTCGTGCTGCTCGTCGCCCGTCTCGTCGCCGAGCGTCGCAGGGTCCAGAGCGGGGCAGCGCCAGTGGGGGGAGAACTTGACCGCAGCTGGCGCGGCGGGCGGAAACGAAATTGGTGAAGTGAGACTGGCGGTTTCGCAACAGGCGCAAGAGAACGCAGCAGCAGCGCTGTTCGCCATAACGTCTTCGTCAGATGCAAATAAGTTACTCGTTGGATCGACGCCAGGAGCCATCGCAGGGTTGACGGCTATGCTTTCGCCGCAGCCGTGGTCGCTTCGCGGACGAAAAGACGCCGCTTTGGCTTTGTTTAACTTATCCCTATCGGAGAAAAACCGTGCTTCGCTAATGTCAGCGGGTGTAGTTCCGAAGTTACTGTCCATGTTACAAGAATACGGCTCGGGATTGGAGGAAAAAGCCACGGCGGTTCTCGTGAATATCACGAAAACGCCCGCGGGTTGCGCGGCGATTCAGGTGGCGGGGGGAATTGCGCCCCTGGTTGAAGCGCTAGAAAGCGGATCCGCGCGCGGAAAGGAGGACGCGGTTGCGGCGCTGCTTATGCTGGCGGAAGACGAGAGCCGGCGGGACGAGATTCTCGAGGAGGGGGTGATGCCCACGTTGGTCGCGCTGCAACAGTCCGGCACTCCGCGCTCGCGCGTCAAGGTGAGAACTCTCCGTATCCGCGCTATAAGCTCAGGTTCTTTGGAGAATATCAAGCTAGGTGAAACATATGGCGCCCTTTCGCAGAATGGATGTTTGCCTGACAAGCGGACCAATCTTCCATTCTGCATCCCCCCCTGGGTGGAGTCAAGACGACAATGCTGAGAATTCACCTCGTGCCTGGGAATGTAGAGGCTCGCTGTGAGAAGGTCGTTTCCTGTCATGAGGGAATGGTGCCGGTTCAGTTTTCCTCCATGGTAAACCTCAAATGTAAATGCTGCCCACCGCACCTAGTCGCGTCGATTTGCAACTTGCAAGCGCGGGTACTAAGTTACCGTGGATTCGGGCTCCTGGACACTGGTCCTGTATAAGGAGTTACGGCCTGCGAGCAGGTAGAAAAATTCGGTAGTTGGTAGTTTTTGTCAATGAGTGCAGTACCCTTGTCTGAGTCGCTCGTATGCCTGTGAACCCGTCTGTATTTCCTGAACGCCTTCGGTCTCTGGTTGTCCCTGAGATCAGCTGGCAGCAGAGCAGCACTGAGGTCTTGTGGGAATGGGTGGTCTGAGTGTATGTGGGGAGGATGTGGAATGATATAAGAGAAAGGGGAAACCAGTGGTGGTGGGGAGAATCCAGTGAATACTTGTTATGGTATACGAGGATTGATGGTGTTCAAGGTGAGGAGGGTGTTGTGACACGCGTAGGAGGGAGTCACAGGGCCAGTATCAAGATATCGCACTAACTGGCGTTGTCTCGAATGGGATGGACCTGGTTTAAAAAATCCAGCACACGGGACAGTTTGAGAGCTGTACGCTGGGACATTAGAGCACAGGGAGGAGCATGAGCAGGAGTGCAGGGAGGAATGCAGAGGAGAGCACAGGATATCAGTACCATGTCTGCAGTGCTTCCTCACCCTGATTTGGTTGCTGTTGTGATGTTTATTCTTCTTGCCCTGAAGGTTCCTGCTGTTTCCTCACCCCTCCCGCCATTGATGATACCAGTTCTTTTCTGCTCCTTTTGTAAGAAGACTTTTCCGGCATGCCCATAGTGGATCCCAACCCCGTTCCTCCCCTCCACCCACCCCATTCACCGTGCACGCACTCTCGTTCAATAAAGGTTCCCATTCAACTAAACACGTTCTCCCCGCCTTCCTCTCCACCCTTCTACTCCACCGCCCCTTCCCCATGTTCTGCTGCATCTGCTTTCAGGCTGCTCGTCTGCTAGCAATCTTCCGGTCCAAGAAATGACTGTATTGTAACATGCTCATGCGGCGCAGTTGAGTGAACTCCGGCTCAATGGAGCCCAGAATTGTGTGAATATGTTTTTTGTGCACGAGGTTACAACCAAGACAGGCAGGGATGGCAGAAACCCCAATTCGCTTTCCTGAATGCCTGGGAGGTCTATGTACTGAACTGGCCTCTGTTTGTGCAATGAACTGGGTTTTCGTAGTTTGTCTCTGCAAACAGGGCTGTACTATGAGGTGTAGCAGCTGGATTCACACATATTGGGACCACTTTCAATAAATTATATTACGATCCTTGTGCTTGGATTCTTTCCACGCCACTGGGGCTGCCACATGGCAGGTACGGATTGAGCTAACGCGAACGGATAAGGCTGAGATGGTGGGAAGGACGCGTCACGACACGCGAGGCGAGGAAGTAACTTGCCGCTGAATTCCTCGTGTCACATTTTCTGCTCGCCCCCTCACCTACCACTCATTGGCTGCCTTCTGTAGGCACGCCAGAGGGGGAGGAGGCGGTAAATAGGCAGCGACATAAAACCCCGCTACCTGCGACATGTTTTTGTTTGGTCGCGCCGTAGTTATATTTTGGTGGTCGCGGACCGCGGTATACATGCGTAGATCGTGTCGCGTCGTAGTCTGGCCAACTGATCCCACGAGCTTGGTCGTTTTACCTCACTAGCTATTTGTCAACCTTGCCAGTTGCTACCCATGTTTCCTTTCTTGCCAACGTGCGCGGCCTTCTCAAACTCCCTGTTCCTCGCAGAAGCATGAATGCGATCAACAGCGACACAACACTGATCATTGTCCCCCTTCCCCGGTGGTCCACCGGCTCGAATGCTCTCACTCACTTGATGCTCGCGTTACCTTGCCGCTGCCTCCGAAACGTTTTTGAAACCGCTCAGTTATCTTTGCCAAAAACAAAAGCTGATGAACGGGAAAACTTCACTTACAGAAGCACAACACTCAATGGAAACATACTACGGTACCACACCTTTTCATCCGTGGAAACATCATTCAAGGGTAGGAAGACTGGCAAGGCACGTGGTACCGTAGCTTGCCAGCATTCCTACCCCTGATCTCGAAAGCCTGCTGCTCATGCGGCGCCTATACTCAACAGAACCAGGTCACCTACTCGCAATCGCTCCGCATGTCACAGGCCACATGTTGAAAGGACTAAAGACTCACCACTGCACCCAGGCGCGGACTCACTCAGCTTGAGTGAATCCTCCTCATTTCCGTAACGATCAATCAAGCAGTCGAAGGAGCGGCGGGCATTTTCACCCCCATCAGCTGCCCACCCCAGGTCACTCCCGACCCGGAACTTCCAGCCAGCACGGCGTATCCGGTCACTGTGCTGTTCACCCCACCGCTCGGCCCAGCACCAGGGAAACCACCTGAAAGTCCACCTGCAGGCGGCGGCTGCTGCTGGCCCCCCTGCGGCTGCCCTCCCTGCTGCTGTCCCCCCTTCTTGGCGGAGGTCAGCGCGCGGAGGAGCAGCCTCCCCACCCCCAGCCCCATGCGCCTGCTGCCCTGCCCTTTCCCCGCGGCCCCTGCGCCGCTTCCGCTGCCGCCGCGCCCGCCGCCTTGCGGAAGCGTCGCGTTCGGGACGACGGCGAGGAGCGCCTCGACAGTGGCGGCGTCCGCGTTTTCGAGAAACGCCTCGAGGCGCGCTTCCGCGTGCAGCAGCCACCATCCCGCGCGCTGCTGCCAGTCGGACGCGGAGACGGGAAGCGCCAGGGCGGCGGAAGCGGAGGAGTCGCAGACGGCGCCCTTCACGATCGCGAGCGAATCGGGAGGGCCGCCGGCGGCGCCGACTAGGAGAGCGTCGACGATCAGATTGTAGTTGCCGGTGGAGTTTCTGCGAGCGACGGAAGGGAAAAGAGTGGGAGGAGGAAGGAGATGAGCGAATGACGGGGAGGGAGGCGAGGGGAACAACGACCGTATTCGCTTGGAGCTGCTGTGCGTTGAACAGAAAAATCATCCGAACCTTGAGGATGTGGTAATCTGTGTGGGAAAACATCGCTTACTTGAAAATGGCGAGGTGGAAGCGGCCGTCGAAGATTTGCTGATCCGCGGAGCAGTTGGCCAATCGCGCGCCAACGTCGGCCGTCAGATTCCCGACGGCCGTCAGGTTAAGCGGAGGACCGCGCGGCTCCCCGCCAGGCGGCCCCGGAGGCCCGCCAGGTCCGCCAGATGCGCCGCCAGGCCCACTGGACCCTCTGGGGCCTCCGCGCGCACCCCCTGGGCCCTGGCCGCCGGGACGGCTTCCGCCAGGCGGACCACGCTGCGCGGAGGCAGAAGTGGCTGCGAGGAGGAGCATGCACGCGAGGAAAAGCCGGTTTACGGCCATCGCCGTGGGTGAAAAGTGCCTGATCTGGGTGATTCCAGCTGGAGGAGCCCTTGGCAGAAGCTGACGGATTTAGAAACTGCAGGTAGACTTGCTGGTATTTAGAAATGAGGGAGACTTGCTGAACCAGGAGGTGACTGGCTTGTGATGGATGGAACATACAGAAGCATGGCTACTTATGTGGAACCAGAGCACTCTTGATGTAACGAGGAAAGGTTCGTGTCGAAGCGCAAGGGAAGCGACTGGTCAACAAGGATTTGTTGGCGGGGCAGGTCCGTACGTCGTTCTGCAACACGATTGGCTTGCATCAGATTCTCTTAACCTCTTCTAAAGGTTCGGAGACGAAGCACCACAAATCGAAGCAGAAAATGTTCGACCCAGTCAATAGGTTGGTCAACGCAATTGGCAAAGACACGAAACTGAGTCAACGTGCACTTCAACAGAACACGCTACAGTCTGTCCCCGAATAATGACCACAGAACACTCAGCTATACATGCTAGGTATAATAGGTTGAACACAAAGGGGCGATCTTTCGCAGGCCACAAACCCCATGGAACCAGCTACACCACCATCAGGTTACCCAGATAATGGTTCCTTTAAGTCTCATCAATTACAAAATAACCCCAAACACACTGTTGAGCATTATAGTGCCTACATTCCGATCATCAGACAATTCACCGCATTCGCCTAAAATACAACCGCACCCTAGCCTCACTCCACTTGGGCCCTCATGGCCGCAGCGTCCACAGCGTGCATCACTTCATCCATGTATGGCCGCCGCTCCGAAACCCTCCCTCAGCGCCACCACCAGCAGCATCAGCAGCACCGGCGGCACCGGCAGCAGCACCAACAGATGCATGTGAGTCCAGCCAAAGCATCCCACCTGTCTCACTCCACTCCTTTTGCCCCCAAGGCTGCAGCATCCCTAGCCACTGCGCCCACAGCGTGCATCACCTCTTCCATGTACGGCCGTCGCTCTGACGTCCTTTCCAAGCACCTCATCGCCACCACCAGCAGCCGGTGTGCCAACCCCAAATCCCACTCCCCTGCTGACGGATCCAACTGCCCCACACTTCCGCTGCTGACGCCACCCATGCGGTCGTCAATCTCACTGCCACTGCCAGTACCTGTGCCCTCAAGCCCCGCAGTAAGAGCAGCAACACGCGCAGGGTTCCACCGGATCTCCGAGGGCATGAAGTGGAGGTACCCAATCACATCCTCGACCTCCGGAAAGCGGGTGAGCAGAAGCATGAGCACCATCCCGTACGCATACACGTCTGTTTTCACTGTCGTAGCCTTTAGAAGAATTGTCTCTGTGTCGACAAACCCTGGCGTCCTACGCACGTCCCCCGTGACCACGGGATGGGAGGAGGAGGAGGAGGAGGAGGAGGAGGAGGAGGAGGAGGAGGAGGAGGAGGAGGAGGAGGAGGAGGAGGAGGAGGAGGAGGAGGAGGACGGGACAACGCAGGACAGCCCCATGCCAGCGAGTTTGCTGGTGCGTGATTGGTCGAGGAGAATGTTGTCGGGTTTGAGGTCGCGGTGGAGGATGGGCGGGTGGGACTGGTGCAGGCAGAGCAAGGCCGAGGCGATTTCGGCTGCGATGCGCATTCGGTCGCGCCAGGAGAGGTGGAGGGGGAGCGGCGGAGGGAAAGAGCGCGCGGGAGAAGGAGGCGGGGGTAACGAAAGTGTTCCTGCTGCCGCTGCCGCTGCGGCTTCAGCATGAGTCATTTTGGAAGCCTCTGGACCGAAGTAATGAGCCACCTTGGTCTCCCAGAGCTTGGCCATCAGCAGCTGCTCCTGCAGGCTGCCCCCCGGCATGAACTTGTATACGAGCGCGAGGGAAACCGAGAGGGGGTCCTTGCAGCGGCCCACCAGGCGGATAATGTGCGGGTGGTGCTGCACATCTTGCACGCGCAGGAGAACATCCACCTCTCTTGCGAACGCCTGCATCGCCTCTCTGGCCTCCTGCTTGCCGGCGAAACGGAGCAGCCTCACTGCCACCTCCTCTTCCGTGCCCTCAGTTTGACTATCCCTGCTCCCATGGGCGCCTTGGGTGACTGCCACCTCCTCCTCCATGCCCTGCTTGCCCTCCCCCTCACCATCACTGCTTTCATCGTGCAGGGTGCCCCCACGGCTGCTCTCACCCGGCTTGCCCTCCCTCTCACCATCACTGCTCCCACGGGAGCTGCTTGCATGCTGCTGCTTGCCAGTTGCGAGCTCTTCGCCGCCAGCTGTCACGGTGTAATGGGTCAGATCCAGCCGCCCGTAACACAGGGAGCCAGGGTCCCCGTTCACGATAAAGTTCTCCTGGGCAAACCCGTTTGTGATGGTGGCTAGGTCGGCAGGGGAGAAGAGCAGGCAGCGGGGAGGCGAGGGGAGGCGAGGGGAGGCGAGGGGCGGGCAGAGGCGGGAGGAAAACTGGAAGAGAACGCAGAGGACGTCGATGGAAACGAGGGGTGTGCTGTTGAGGAGAGTGCTGCACTTGCAGTTCCACTTTCCCTCTCACCTCCACTTTCCCTCTCACCTCCACTTTCCCTTCCACTCACAGCACTGTGGCTGCTTCGTCCCGGCTTCCACCCCTCCAAGGGTTCCACTTCAGAAGCTTCCACTCCCACACCCCCAATGCCTCCACCTGGCCTTCTCTCCAATGTCTCCTTCACAATCATTCCCATTAACTCTCAGAATGGAAACTTGACCGGACCGCGAAAATCTGCAGGAAAAGGCTCGAAACCTCCCGCCCCCTGCTGCTGGGGATGCTCCTCTGCTAATTTCGCTTCTGCACTCACTGCTGACACATCAGCACCCACCCGATCGGACATGCTCGGAATGCTGCTGCTTTCTGCGCCTTCTGCCGGCCATCCTCCCTCATCCACTTCTCTGACCTCACCCGTCCGAATCCAATGCGGTTACTCCGCCAGCACCTCCACCTCCCTTTCCACTTCCCTTTCCACCTCCCTTTCCACCTCCCTTTCCACCTCTCTCGCCCGCCTGTCAACTACCAGAGCCGCCACTGCTTTGCCCTCTCCTCGAGCCTTTGTTTTGCCCTCTCCTCGAGCCTTTGCTTTGCCCTCTCCTCGAGCCTTTGCTTTGCCCTCTCCTCCGCCACTAAGACTCTCCCCTCATGCCCCTGCTGCAACCCCCCCTCCACCTTCCCCTCCCCCTTCCCACCCGCATCTCCACCCACACCCCCTTCCTCCCCATCTTGCAACGCAGCTGAAGGTGCCTCATCCCCGTGTGCCTCCTGAAGGTGTCTCTCAGGCAAATCGCCAGCACCAGCTGTGTCTGCCACACTGCTCCCATGCTGCTCAGAGCCCAACCGTCCCGCTACCCCCGCGACTCCCACGCTGCTGCTGCTGCCGCTGCTGCTGCCGCTGCTGCTGCGGCTGCCGTCGCCGCTGGTGTTGCTGCCGCTGCCAGCAGCGTTGGCAACAGCCCAGGGGTTGAAAGTACACGCTTCCCGCTGCGTATACAGGGAGGCACGGTGAGTGGGGGGCTGCTCATGGGGCAGGCGAGATGGGGTTGAGGGAGGAAAGGAAACGGGAGACGACGAAAGTCAGTGTTCCCTGTAGAGGGGTTTGCACTGTACATTCAGGGAAGGGTTTGCACTGTGCAAACCCCTTTGTCAGGCAGAGAGGTGAAGGTGGGGCTGCTCAGTGCTGCTCAGGTGGGGAGACACGGGGGAATGGGAGACTAAAATCTTGAAACCTCGTCTCAAAAACGATTGTCAAGTTTTGAGACGTCTCAAGAGAGTTATGCGTTTTGAAACGTCTCAAGACTGGCCGAGGAAGTGTGGCAAGGAGACTGCCTGGGGAATTAACCCATAGGCTCGCAATCTTTGCGTTGAAATGCTTCGACTGTGATAATCTCCTGAGATAACAGCGCGGATCAATCGGACGGTCACCATTCACATCATCATGCAAAATCGGACGGTGAAGCCCTCACAATTGCACGGTAGTCCACCCGCGACGCGAGCGCTGACAGCCGCTGGTCGATCCTCTCAGGCCGGCAGCTGCTCGTCCGCAGTGGCTCTGCGCCGCCGCCGGAGAGACACCGCGCCCCGGGTGAGGGCGGCGCTGACGAGGGCGGCGCGGATAAGGTGATTTGCGCGGCAGCGCCAGCGAGGGAGGCGTCCGCGCGGAGCCAGGGTCAGAAGGAGCGCGCGGCTGGCGGAAGCAGAAGCAGAGCGGGGATGGTGCGGACGGACGAGGCGGAGCACGCGCGGCTGCGCATACTAGATAGCTGGGACTAACAGCCGCGGAAAGATATCGACTCGGCTGAAATGACGTGCTGTGTGCAAATAACGAAGATAGGAAACGGATCCGACGCGGAAGAGTGCATTACCGGCCTACAAGAGAGAAGGCCATCTAAAGGGCGAAAGCCGGTAGGCCGATAGTTAGATTCCTCTCTTCGTTCCCCCATCTCCCTCGCCCTTCCGCAGCCCTTCCGCAGCCCCTCCCCCGCCCCTCTTTTCCTCCTCCACCACCTCCTCCTTCCACATCCCCCCACCCTCCACTCCCCCTCCTCCCCCCACCTCCCCTCCAACACCTTCCTCCCACACGGACAGAAGACACATCCCTCGTCCAGTGCGTGGGCAATGGCGCAACGGGTGGCTATATTCGAGGCGCCTAAAGAACAGATCCCATTTTTGGGGCGTCTAAAAAGAATCGATCCCCCCGTGCATGCTTGCACTCTAATGCATGGAGGGTGGATGCTGATTCGCGAATCCAAGGACGTGCGACGTGGATTCTAAGGTAAGCTCGTGTCGCATGTCCTCGGATTCGCGCGGGCTCGGTGCGGGCGACGCGGACCAGCTCGCGAACCGGGTGCGGTCCCGGTTGTGGACCAGGAATCAGACCAAGGACGAAACGGGAAACTAGATGTAACGAGCACATGGCACAACACCGGTGCCGAGCCGCGCTAGTCACGTGAGAACTTTCATGCCACCGCTTGGGAATCACGCCCTCGTCATTTTCGCTTGCGTGCGGATTTGGAGTGTGTCACTGTCTGTCATTGTAAGACCCCATGGTCCTCGAGGTTCGGTTTGCATCAACTAAACTGCGCGAAATGCGCTCCCTCGAGCCTAACGCCACGATTTTCCTCGCGTGGTATTACGGTACGTTTATCCTCATTATAAATCTGAGTCTACAAGACGAGGTTGAGTTATCTTCGATAAATCGAACTGGAGGTTTACATTACCACATGAACGTGCTTAGCCAGTCACAGACTTGAACAACTACATTTCCTAAAAGTGAAACTTTTTGTTTCATCATCAACTCACTACACATCTTTCTACTGTGCCTGCAAACAGCCACACCACATCCAACTTGCAACACATGGGGAACGTAATTCTAAACCAGAAGCCCCAATCCCATTTCTATCTGCCCCCCAACCTCAAGCCCAAGTGCAACCTCTTCACACTCCGCTCCACCCTTGTGCACGAATAACCACGCCAGGGTGCCTCGTCCCCCACTAGCTACCGGTACCACATGACCTTCTCCATTGTCGAAAGTTGCTCAAATGCTCACTCCAGAATCACACGAAGCAGCAGCAACAGAAGCAGCAGCAACAGAAGCAGCAGCAACAGAAGCAGCAGCAACAGAAGCAGCAGCAACAGAAGCAGCAGCAACAGAAGCAGCAGCAACAGAAGAAGCAGCAACAGAAGCAGCAGCAACAGAAGCAGCAGCAACAGAAGCAGCAGCAAAAAAAGAAGCAACAACAGAAGCAGCAGCAACAGAAGAAGCAGCGGCAACAGAAGCAGCAGCAGCGGCATATCAACCGACCAAACCAATTATTTCCGTAGTTCCAGCACTTCTCACTGCACACTCTTTTGCCATAAAAGCTGCAGCATCCCTAGCCACTCCACCCGCGGCGTGCATCACTTCGTCCATGTACGGCCGTCGCTCCGAAACCCTCTCCAGGCACCTGAGCGCCACCAGCAGCAGCCACATGTGAGCCAAACACCCCACCCACGTCCCACTTGCAACTCCCACACCCCCCTCCTGTGCGTCTGCGTCTCATTCCACTCTCTCCCGCATGTGCGTTAGACCTTGTCTCACTCCACTTTGTCCCCCCTGGCAGCAGCATCTCTTGCCACAGCACCAACTGCCTCCATCACCTCTTCCATGTACGGACGTCGCTCTGACGTTCTATCTAGGCACCTCAGCGCCACCACTAGCAGCCGGTGAGCCAGCCCCACATCCCACTCCCCTGCTGACGGATCTAACTGCCCTATACTGCTGCTGCTGCTGTTGTCGTCGCTCTTGCTGCTACCGCTGCTGCTACCGCTGCTGGTGCTCGAGCTCGTGCTGGTGGTGCTGCTGCTAGCACTGCCGCTCCCACTGTTTCCAGTCCCCGCAATGACTGCAGTAGCAGCACGTGCAGGGCTCTGCATAACCTCAAACGGGAGCGAGCTCAGGTACCTGTGCAGGTCCCTAGCAGCGGGGAAGCGCGTCAGCAACAACATCAGCACCACTCCGTACGCATACACATCCGACTTGGTCGTCAACTCCCCCGATTCCACCGCCTCGGGGTCTATAAACCCGATTGTCCCGCGGACTTTCCGGGTAAATACCACGTTGGAGGACGGGACGACGCAGGAGAGGCCCACATCAGCAACCTTGCTGGTGCGTGATTGGTCGAGGAGAATGTTGTCGGGTTTGAGGTCGCGGTGGAGGATGGGCGGGTGGGACTGGTGCAGGCAGAGCAAGGCCGAGGCGATTTCGGCCGCGATGCGCATTCGGTCGCGCCAGGAGAGGTGGAGGGGGAGCGGGAAGTTTGAAGCCGGGGCGGGAGCTGGTGCTGCTGCTGCTGCTGATGCTGCTGATGCTGCTCCAGCTCCTGGTTCTGCTACAACTGCTGCTGCTCCCTCTGCTGCTGCTGCTGCTCCTGCCGCTCCGGCTGCTCCAACTGCATCAGATACCCCATTCTTGGCCCTCAGCAGCTGGTCCTGCAGGCTGCCCCCCGCCATGAACTCATAAACCAGAGACAGATCGTGATCACAGCGGCCCACCAGGCGAACGATGTGAGTGTGCTGCACGCGTAAAAGGATATCCACCTCTCGCACAAAGGCTTCTATCGCCTCCTGCTTGCTGGCTGACCTGTGCACCTTCACGGCCACCTGCATGCCGTCCCTGCTGCTGTTACCACTCTGGTTACTGAGCTTGTTACCAGTCTGGTTACCACATTGCGCACCTTCAAACGAGTCCCCGCTGCCAGCTGGCACGCTGTGATTGGTCGGATCCAGCCGGCCGCGATACACAGGGCCGTACGCGCCGCTTCCAAGAAAGTTCTCCTGGGAGAAACCGTCGGTGATGGTGGCTAGGTCAGCCGGGGAGAAGAGCAGGCAGCGGGGAGGCGAGGGGGCTGGGTGGGCTGGAGAGGAGGCAGAGGCGGAGGCAGAAGCAGAGGCAGAGGCGGAGGAGGAGGAGGAGGAGGAGGAGGAGGAGGAGGAGGAGGAGGAGGAGGAGGAGGAGGAGGAGGAGGAGGAGGAGGAGGAGGAGGAGGAGGAGGAGGAGGAGGAGGAGGAGGAGGAGGAGGAGGAGGAGGAGGAGGAGGAGGAGGAGGAGGAGGAGGAGGAGGAGGAGGAGGAGGAGGAGGAGGAGGAGGAGGAGGAGGAGGAGGAGGAGGAGGGAGGGGGAACATGGGAATGAGGCGTTGCTGTACCTAATGAAGGTGTTTCTGTTGCTGCTAAAGAAGGCTGTGCTGCTACAGGGGGTGCTGTTCCCAACGTTGTTGCTGGATGGGAGTCCAAGCCAGGCACACTGTGCCCATGCTGCTGCTGCACATGCAGTGCACCTTTCATTGTCTCCCAAAAAGCCTTCCCCCCCTGCCCCTTCCCCTGCCCCTGCCCCTGCTCCACCCTCCCCAGCAGCCTCTCCCCCCACACCGGCCGCTGCGAGTTTTCGCTGTTCCTTCTCTGCATCTCTCCCTCCACCTCCACGCGCCCTGAGAGTCCCTCCTCCCACCGTGCCCCTTCTCTTGCACTGGTGAAGTCTGAGAAGGAAGACCGGCGGGCACTTTGCTCCGGGTCTGCCATGCCTATGTCCACACTGCCCCGCTGCACCTGCTGCTGCTGCACCTGCTGCACCTGCTGCACCTGCTGCTGCTGCACCTGCTGCACCTGCTGCGAGGAAGAAAGAATTGTCTGCTGCTGCTCCTGATGCTGCGGCTGCTGCTGCTCCCCCTCTAACACCATCACGGCTGCACATTCCGCTGCTGACCCCGTCGACCGATCAAAGATGCTTCTGCTGCTGCTGCTACTGTTGCTCCCTGACCCTCCGCCTCCTCCTCCTCCTGCTGCTGCTGACGCGCCCGCGCCTCCCCCAGTTGCCAAATCATCCCTGAGAAGCCGCTGTGCCAGATCCGCCATCTCCTGGCAAAGGAAGCCGTTCAGCTGCATGCTCGTGCGGGAGGGCTGTGAGAGGAAGGACATGTGGGAAATGGTAGGGAGAGGGAGAAGGGGTGGGGATGGGTTCAAGGCGCTGCAAGACTGCTCCGCCATCTCCTGGCAGGAAAAGGCATTCAGGTGCACACTCGCGTCAATCACAAAAGATCGATCCTCACTGTGGCACTAGACGACCAGCTGTTGGTGGAGATGCCTAGCAGCCACCACAGCCGCGCCCAGACCCAATCCATCAGCCAGCCAGTCATCCCCGTCCTCCCCACCAGTCACACCCCATATACTCGCACCACATTCACTCCACTCCACAAAACACTCACCGTAGCAGCCGAAGACCAGCTGTTAGTCGACAGCCGTCTAGCAGCCACCACAGCCGCGCCCAGACTCAGGTCGTCCGCCAGCCGAGTTGACTTTTGAGTCGACTCAGAAGTCAGCCAGCCAGTCATCCCCGTTCTCCCCATCCACTCGCCTCAGTCCATACAATCACGCCCATAGAGCTCACCGTGGCACTGGATGACCAGCTGTTAGGTGGAAAGCCGCCGGGCCGCCACCACAGCTGCGCCCTGCCCCAATTCATCAGCCAGCCAGTCATCCCCGCCCTCCTCATCACCCATCCACTCGCCTAAGACGATACAAGCTCCCCCATACAGCGAGAGCTCAGCTCACCGTAGCAGCAGAGGACCAGCTGTTAGGTGGAAAGCCGCCGGGCCGCCACCACTGGCGCACCCAGACCCAAGTCATCAGCCAGCCAGCCATCCCCGTCCCCCTCGTCACCCTCCCACTCACCTCAGCCTGTACAATCACAATCATAGAGCTCAAAATCATAGAGCTCAAAATCATAGAGCTCACCGCCCGCACAGCACTCACCGTGGCACTAGACGACCAGCTGTTGGTGGAGATGCGCCGAGCTGCCACCACAGCCGCGCCCAGACCCAGGTCATCCGCCAACCAGTCGTCCTCATCCTCCTCATCTCCCCCTAATGCTTCATGCAACCGCCGCCTAGCCATTTCCGCTGCGGTCAACTCACCCCGCCCATCCCCCTCCTCCTCATCTCCCCCTAATGCGTCATGCAACCGCCGCCTAGCCATTTCCGCTGCGGTCAACTCACCCCGCCCATCCCCCTCCTCCTCATCTCCCCCTAATGCTTCATGCAACCGCCGCCTAGCCATTTCCGCTGCGGTCAACTCACCCCGCCCATCCCCCTCCTCCTCATCTCCCCCTAATGCTTCCTGCAACCGCCGCCTTGCCAACTCCGCCGCAGTCAATTCTCCTCCTCCATCCCCTTCCTCCGCCTCCCCTCTTCTTTCCCCCTTCTCATTCCCATCCCCTCTTCGCTCCTCGTCCCTGTTTCCATCCCTCTGCAGTCTCCAAGCCAGCCCTTGTGCGCCTTCCGTGCCTGCTGCCGCGCCTCCTGCCGCGCCTGCTGCCGCGCCTGCTGCCGTGCCTGCTGCCGTGCCTGCTGCCGTGCTTGCTGCCGTGCCTACTGCCGTGCCTGCTGCTGCGCCTGCTGCACTGCTCCCTCTGACGACTGCTGTGCTGCTGATGCCGCTTCTACTAGCAGTGATGCTGCTGCTGCTGCTGCTGGTAGTGCTAGTGGTGCTGGTTTCGCTGGTGGCAGCGGCCCATGGGTTGGAGAACACGGGTGCTTCTCGCTGCACACGCAGCGGTGACGAGTGCCGAGGGCGAGGCTGCTCAACAGGCTGGTGGGGAGTGAAAGAGAGGGGAGGGGAGAATGGGGGGGAGGGAAGAGGAGAGGGAAAGGGGAGGGGCGTGAAGGGAAGGGGAAGGGGAGGTGATGTGATGCCACAGACAGAGGGATGTGATGCACGGATATGCCTGTCCCGTTGGAGCCTGGCGGGACAGGGTTTTCTTTCAGGTGCTTAACACTTGCGCGCGTGATCGGCGGACAAGTTACTTACCTTACATAGTTACGCATCACACTTTGGTTGCTGAGTCAGTTTACACTTCCAATCCGGCTACCTTAGCGTTTCAAGGGTTATTTTTGTGAAGCACAGGGCTAGGGGGGATTCCGGAACTTTGAGTCAACTCAAAAGTCACCTCGTTTCAAGGGCTATTTTTGTGAGGCACAAGGTTAGGGGGGATTCCGGACCATACGTTGACAACCCTCCATATTCTCTCACCTTCTCGCCCATATCCGGGAAGCTTCTTGTCTTTTTCATCTCCCTGTCGCCCATCCCCAATCTCCCATCCCCTCCACCACCATCCCCTCCGCCTTCCCCTCTTCCGCCATCCCCATTTCCCCCATCCCCCCTTCCACCATCCCCCCTTCCGCCATCCCCCCTTCCCCCATCTCCGCCCCCGGCATCCCCCTCGTTCTCCTGCATAGCAGCTGCTGCCAGCATGAGCTCTTCAAACCCATCTGCCCCACCCCCTTTTCGCCCCTTCTGCCCCTTCTGCCTGCTCCCTTCCGCTCCCCCCTTACTGCCCTTGCTCTCGTCTCCTCCCCTACCCTCCACTCCTTCTTTTCTCTCAGCTCTTTTCTCTCCTCCCTCCCGCGCTCGCCGTTTCTCATGCCCTAACTTCCGCCCATGCGCCTGTTTCTTCCACCCACCCGCACCGCCCTCCACCTCACTCCCTGCCATCCCAATAGGGAATTCAGCTGACTGCACCTTCCTCTGCTGCTCCCCTGACTGCTGCCCCTCTTCCCACCCCTCGCTCCGCCCCACGCCAGTCTGCCTACCGTCTTCCAGCACCACTGGCAGCATAGGAGCTCCAAAAAAAACTCCCCTCGCGCCCCTCGCGCCCCCCACAACCCCCCCATCCCCCCCACCCCCCTCGCCCCCCACGCCCCGCAGCTTCCTCCGCAGCTGGCGCTCCCGTTCAGCCCGAAAGAACATGCCTGCGCGAACCACGTCTTTGCCCTGCTGCTGCGCCATCGCGCGCGCCATCACCCCCCCCAGCAACCCCGCACCCGCCAAGCCCCCCGCTGCCAGCGCACCCCCTGCTACCACCCTGTCGCGCCCAGCGTCGCTGCTAGCCTCCTCTACAGTCTCCCTTGTCCCACCCACTCCCAAACCACTGCTCGCAGTTGCATAGGCCGCGTCTGTAGCAGGAGCGTGTGTGCCAGGAGCGTCTGAAACAGGCGCTTCTGCCCTGCTGGAGTGGTCCTTGGCCTCGCGTCTCCCTCTTCCTCCCCCTCCTCTTCCCCCTCCTCCTCCCCCTCCTCCTCCCCCTCCTCCTCCCCCTCCTCCTCCTCCTCCTTCTCCTCCTCTTTCTCCTTCCCCCTCTTCCAGCTCGGCTTCCCAGTCGGAGAAGTCGATTCTGTCCAGACTGCTGCTCCTGCTGAGGCCCCTTTGACGGTTCCTCCGCGCACGAGAAACAGCCGCAACCGCACCAGCAGCAAAACTAGGAGCAGCAGCAACTGCTGCACCAACAACATCACCAGCAGCACCAGCAATAGTTTGAGTACCAAAAGCAGCACCAGAAGCGCTAGCAGCAGCACTTAACACCGCACCTCCCCTTGCTGCACCTGCTGCTGACCGCACTGCTGGCTCTTTACCTGCTAAACCCCCGGATTCCTCCCCCAAGTCTCTGCTCTTTTCACCTGAAGCACCACCTGAGCCCAGGTGCTCCGAACCATCCTGGAAGGACGGGAACCTGATGAGAGAACTTGAGACGCCTGAGACGGTGGAACGGGTAGAAGCTAAGGGTGCTATGGCGGGGACTGGAATAGCCTTGCTGATCGCAGCAGCAGGATCTGGGGCGTCTGAAAGAGTGGGAAGCGCACAGGCGAGGGGAGCGACGGTTGGGCCTGCAGGGGCTTCAGCAGCCGTGCTCGAAGTGAGGTTGAGGCTGCTGCTGCTGGTGATGCTGATACTAGTGTTGATGGAAATGCTGGTGGTGGTGCTGCGTGGGTGGTCGGCGTTGTGAGTGTAGCGGCGTTGGATTGATGCGGGGGCGAGCGTGGGCTTGCGCACCTGCAGCAGCTGGTGCTGCAAGCGCGGCAGAGGCTGACGCTCGTTGAAGCTCTTCAGTCTCTCCTGCTCGTGCCACGGATAGCGCGTCAGTTCGTATGACACGGCGGAGGAGGAGGGGGCGGAAGAGGAAGACGAAGAGGAGAGGGAAGAGGACGAGAGAGAGGAGGAAGGGGAGGTGAAGGAAGAGGAGGAGGACGACGAGGAGGAGCGGGAAGCGGAGAAGGAGGAAGAGGAAGAGGAGGAAGCGGAGGAAGAGGAGGAAGAGGAGGACGAGGAGGAAGAGGAGGACGAGGAGGAGGAGAAAGACGAGGAGGAGTAAGCGGACGACGACTGTGGCAGAGCGGAGGAGAGAGCAGAAGCAGTTGCATTGAACGAGTAGGACGCTGCTGGCAGGAAAGAGTCTGATGGAAAAAGCGGCGCAGCTTTCTGGGAACCGCTTTTGTTGCTGTTGCTGCCACTGCTGATGCACCTGCTACCCCCACTGCTACTGCTCCTGCTGGCGCTGCTGCCGCTGCTACTCGTACTCCATCTGCTGCTTCCCCCCACGCTCACGCCATCGTCTGTGCTAAAGCTGCACCGCTGAACACCCCCAGCCTCTCCCCCAGTCTCCCCCCCAGCCTCACCCACAATCCCCCCCCCATTCTCCCACCCGCCCGTGCTTGGCTCGTTCTCGTCTATCTCCGTCAGCGAGCCGTTTCGCGAGTGATTATTGGAAGATGTGATTGTAGCGAGCTTGCAGGTTAAAGGCAGGCTGCTGGCGAACGTCAGCGGAAGGCCGAGATCAGAGGAGGGGTAGCGGAGGCGCAATGGTGGCAGCAGATCGATACCCGCAGTAGCTGCTGCAGCGGCGGCGGCGGTGGTGGGGGCGGTGGCGGCGGGCGCGGCGGCGGCGGCGGCGGTGGCGGGTGTTGCGTAGAGACGAGATGCGGGGAACCAGCGAGCCGCGGCGCAGAGGCCGTCTGCACGAGAGGTGCTGCGCTCCACGTGGCCGATTACCATTGCCTGGGAGGGACAGGGGAGTCGGAGAGTATGGAAGAAGAAAACGCAAGAAAATTGGGAAATAACCCTCACTCGAATCTGACATTCTACCCTCATACGACACGAACTGCCCATAACAGCCTCGATCGCTAACGTTTACCTTCGAAACGGCTACATTCGATGCTCTCACCTTCAACACTTGATGATTCCAGATCTCCCTCCCAATCCGCTATCCTCTCATCCTCAAATCTGTAACCTCATTTCGTTCACCTTCACGACTCTCACCTTGCCCATCGCCATGGCTCGCTGCAGGAGAGGCTTTAACAGCTCCTTCCAGATCCGATCCTCCTTCGCCGAGTCATCATCGCCACGGCTACTCTCACTCAAGCTAGTGGTACGCGCACCCCGCACGCGTGACGATTCTGAAGGTTTCCGAACGCTCGTATTTATCACAACCGATACTAGAACAATAATGACGTCAGCATTTTCTTTCGGTTTAGACGCCTTAGCTGACGGGTGGCTTAGCTGCTGCTGGCGATGCTGCCGTCTCGCCTGAGACGCGGCAGAGGCTAACGTCAGCACCTGCTGCAGAAACGACCAGGAAGCTTCTAAGGCGTCCTTAATTGCGGAATCATCGGAGACCCACGATCCTGGCACTTCCACGAGCCACATTGTCGCCGATTCGACGGTTTTTATTGTTTTTCAACGGTCAATTTCTTGCATATGATGACTGGAACCAAAATGACTGCTTGTGTCGACAAAATCCCTTTTTTCTTCTTTAGCTGCGAATCTATCCGATTATAGCGTATGAGGCAGCAACCTTAGGCGTCAACGTGAAGACGACTCATATACGTGTCACATTCAAATGGCAACCGCCGTGAAAAACGCCAAACGGTCAAAGCCGACAGTTTGTACTTGCATGGGCTGTAACGCATCGAGCTGTTACGAAACAGGCGCACTCCTTGGCTCTGAAAGCGGGGCGACAATATGCAGCTAAAGGCAGGTTTGCGAAGGCCCTTGATGATTTCGAGGAGTTTATTAAATAACGGAGGAAGTAATTAATATTCCTGAGGACTGGTTCGCAAAGGCTGTAGGTGTTGCTTTCTGGAGGGATGTCTACCGTAAAGAACGGCTACTAGCTACAGCTATGCTGTAGTACCCTCAGCTATGCTCCGAATAACAATGCCTGACGAACTCGAGTTCCTCGGTTCCATTCAACGGCACGTAACAATGTCTATACTGAACGTGGCTTTACGTGGACGAGGTAAGATAGAGAGAATCGTAAACGGAGCCATGTCCGTCCACTGAACCATGACTGTCAACACTGCAAACTTGACGAACGGGGAAAGCACACTTGGCGGGGGAAAGGCAAATGAACGTGTCCAGTCAAGCAGACCAAGCCGAGTAATGGCGATTAGCCGACCAACAGCGATTAGCCGGCGAACGGCGATCCATCAGGGGCGTTTGGCCGTCGACGATCGCGATTGACGGACGGTCGGCCATGAAGTGACCGCGGGCACGAAAAAAACTAGCCTCTCAGTAGGGTTTGATTTATTTTAGCAGCGGGCAGTTGACTGGAGAGTCCGACTACAAATCCCCCTGGGGTTGCCAACGGAGATTCCGATGAAGGGACGGAATCGTGTGCCTGTAGAAGAGCGGCAAGTTCGAAGCCAAAGCCACAGCCGAGCTGCCGAAGCGAGGTCACAGGTTAGGAAAGAGAGGTTCTGGGGACGAGCGGGGAGCTTCAAGCGGAACGAGCGGCTGACCGGAGAGGCGGGAAATTGTTGCAGATTCCCGATTGTTCTCTCCGCCAAGAAACTCTGCGGTCGCGCCATACTCTCTCCGCCGAGTCCAATTGCGTGGGTGGGTGGGACCACCATCGATTTCCACCTCTGAGCGGCTGAGCAGGAGCTGGCTCTCATTGCACAGGTAACGCACTGAACCGTTTGTTAACCAGGTGAAACACAACTAGCGTGTAATTGCGCCACCAACTCGCCACTGTCCCAGAAATATGTGCGGTGTAAAGCCCGCATCCAGACAAACGTCATTAGAGGCAGACCGCGTTACAGTACGAGTCACACGTCTTGTTTCCAAACCAAACTTGAGCACGAAATGAAAACACCAGTTTCGTCCATCGCTTCACTTCGTCCTTGCGGGCGGGTCTTGCGCGGACCAGCTAGAGGGATCAGACGAGACGAATGGGATGGCATGCCATTGAAGAAACAAATTGGGGCAACGGCGACTTTGCGTGGTTGGTGCGCGGTCCTGAATATGCTCCCCCCCTGGGCCTGAAAGTGTGGCGTTTCCAATTGCGGATCCTTTTTTTCCGTGAAAGCTGGAAATTTTACCCTCCGCGTGGGCACCCATGATTGGAGAGCTTCTCCTGGGACCATGGAGGTGAAGTGGTGTTTATGAGTGAGATGACAAGATTCAGATGCCGACTTAAAGTTCGAGAGAGCAAACAGAGTCTCGACACTCTGTGCATTTTTATAAGCCCCTAGGTGTATTTCGCTCTTTCACATATATTACTGATCAAGTCAGTTTACATTCGCTTTTACAATACTTGAGTTTATGATGAAGTTTCTGCAAAATTGACTATACGCTCACTTGGAACATATGCACGTCTTGAAGCATCAACACACCCTAAACCACGAACCACAGTGACTTTGGTTGCACCCAAGGCTCTCGTTAGCAGACTAAATTAGTCTGTTGGTCTAGGTTTCAGGCACAAAATGTATAGTTCATATGTTGTGGCAGACTTTGCCTTTGGGGCCATATGAGAGCCCAGACAAATGCTATATGTTCATATGTTTTTTCAGGAGAGTTATAGCAAGGGAGCTGATCAAGTAGAAATCGCGTATAGTTTCGTCTGAAAGAGACAAACTGGCCCACTTGGCCATTGGAGCAGCGATGTGTTGCCTGTGTGATCACGCGTAATGATTTTTGCGTGTGGGCGCGGGGGTTAGTTTTGGATTTTTCCTGCCAGCGCACTTCGCATCTGACTCAGTTGCTGCCACGCATCTGTCGGGTAGCTGTTGTCGGCGCCGCTGCCAGGCCGTTTCCACCTCCCTCGCTGGCAGAGTGCAAGGACAGTCGGTGTACAGCAAACAAGGCATGCATGGGCTGCCATTGCGCTTTCGTGAGACCCTCGTCAGAGAGGCGCGGTTCGTGACAAGACGGTCCTTACCACCCATCCTTTCTTCTCCAAGCCTTTCTTTGACCATCCTTGCTCTCTCTCCGTTTCAATTCGTCCCGTCCCGTCCTCATGTGTCTCACCACACCACACCATGCTAGCCGAACATGGCGCACCCGCCTCAACCGACAACGCTAAGCGTGATTCACCCGCGGTACCTGAGGCGCCCCTGGTATCCGCGTTAGATTTCTTAACGCGGAAAGCTCCCGCCGCGATTCCAGTAACCACAACTGCCGCAGTAGGGACTCCTCCGCCTGTAATTCCTCCCCCCAACGTCATTTCGTCCTGCAACAACGAGCCTATTCTCCCCTCGCCATCCACGTCAGATGCGGCAGAGACCTCGACCCAGCCTAGCACGGCTGAAGCTGAGTCGTCGCCCCCGCCCGTTTCGGCATCTGTGGCTACCACTGCACCTGCAATCTCTTTTTCTCGCGTTAGAGTTGGGAGCGGCAATTTCAAACAGCGTGTTCTCAGTTTTGCCCGTCCCACTCCAGGTGTCGCCCCAGCTACCGTCCCCCGCTTCACACCTCGTCCAGGCCCATCAAAACCCGCCGCCGCCGACAAGGACGACAAGTACCCCCATGTCCTGACCGTCGAGCAGTGGCAGGAGAAGGCGAAGGAGAAATGGCTCAAGCACTTCCCGTGGCTCATCATCTCGCAGACCTCATGGGGTCAACCCTGTATGAGGTGCTCAATCTGCATGGTGCACGGTGACCCCAGCTACCAGTACGGCCGCGACGGGGAGGGTGGGCTCGACATTCAACGACAGACGATGCGGAAGCACCAACATTCGATCAAGCATGAGGTGGCAGTGGACCGACAACAGTTACGAGACGGCAAGAATGCGGCTCAGAAGACTATTGTCGACTTCGAAAACGGTGACGCGGAAGCCAACCGTTTGGCAAAACTGTTGGCAACAGTTATTTTCATTTGCAAAAGTGACTCACCCATTGTGCTGTTTGTGTCGCTGGTCCAGTTCATGGCAGAAATGGGCACGCCGGACATGCCCCTGAAGGATTCCGGCACATACTACAGCGAGTAAGTGTTGGTATGCTTTGGGGGACCCGCTTGTTAAAACCCGCTTGTTTCATGAAGGTTGTTTCTGATCGTTGCAGGTACGGGTTCGCGCAGCTGGTAGAGACACTCGTCGTCTACCTTCGTGCTCAACAGATGAAGCACATCCGGGAGAGTCCTTACCTGGGCATTCAGTTGGACGAGAGCACGGACCGTCGACGCGGAAAACACCTCATCGTCTATCTGTCATTCCTCCGCAACAACACGCCAGTCACTGAATTCTTCGCGCACCTAACAGTTGAGCAGTGCGATGCTGGTTCCCTGCAGGCAGTCCTTCTAACCCACTTAGAAGGAACCGGCCTCGAACTTGAACGCGTCAGTGGCATCAGCACCGACGGTGCAAGCGTCATGGTCGGTTCTCAGACGGGCCTGGTGGCGCGCCTTCGAACATGGATTCCACACCTCGCCGGGTTCCACTGCGTCGCGCACAGGTGTGTAACCCGACATCTGTTATTTTTTCCATGCGTTGCCTGTTTATCTAACTTATCGTTTTTCCCGTGTTGTGTCAGGGAAGCTTTGGCGGCAAAGGATGCCGCCGAGGCCTACCCCGACCTTGACCTCGTCGACAGAGTCGTCCGCTCCTTGGCGGAGCAGCTTGGACGGTCGGGCAACTTCCACCTACGCTTCAAAGAGCTGCAGGAGGTGCTCTGCCAAACAAACCTGGAGCTGCAGGGCATCCACAGCGTCAGGTGGCTTTCACGTGGTCTGGCGGTTCAGCGTCTGGCGGACAACCTTCCAGCAGCTGTCATTCTACTGTACGAGAACGACCCGAAGGCCTACCTCCTTGTAACCAGCTTGAAATTCCACTTCCTGCTGTTTTTCTTGGCTGATGTGTTGAAGGAACTCGACGCACTCAACCTCAAGTTCCAGCGACGGCAGGTACGTTGTTACGCTCGTTGCTTTGACGGGTTTTTTATTGTGTTGTTGAACCGAATTTATGTGACACTGACCCGTGCAAGCCTTTCCACGGCCTCTCATGTGTGTAGCAGGTCGACGTGACACACGTGCTGCAGATGGTGGACAACACCAGGCTCACCCTCCGCAACCGTTACCTGAGTGACGCGGACGACTTCGGAGAGGGGAGCAACGAGCTGAGCGCCTTTTTGGCGAAGCATGCGTCGTCGGAGAAGAGGGTGGTGAAGGTGACGGGCACCGACTCGACTGGGGCGCCAACCACTCATGAGTACACCCTCCATGAGCAGAAGATTAAAGGTCAGAAATCTGGCGGGGGCTTGGACGACTGCATCACACTGGCGAAGGGGTACGTGAAGGAGCTGCTGAAGCGTTTGGAGAGCCGGATGAAGGATTTGGGCTCTCTCGAGGGCGCCAAGCTGTTCACGCAGGGGGCGTACCCGAAATCTCACTCGAAGCGGCAGCGGCGGTTCTTGCAGTGGCTGGAGGCTCTCCGCAATCTGTTTAAGCGAAAACCGACCGACCCTGACACCCTGCCAGGTACGTCTTCGATGTCGGTTGTGCCTGATTGAGTCGGACATGTTGTTTGTGTCGCCATATGCCTCGTTGATTTCTTTGAGCCTGATGACTTATGAACACCAGCGCGGTCTAACATTACACTTCTTTCTGATTCGCACCCTGCCACCAGGAGTCAACTGGACGAGGGCACAGAAGGAGCTCAGCAGTTTCACCACCATCATGTCATCCCATCAGCAGGAGCTGAGCTTCCAGGATGGCCTGAAGCAGATGCTCAGCTCCCCCGACTGGTGCACTGCCTACCCCAACCTGATCCGCCTTTGGATGGCAGTCGCAGTGCTGCCCCTGAGCACCGTGGAGTGCGAGTGGGGCTTCTCCCGCCAGAACATCATCAAGAGCTGGCTACGCGGCAATCTTAACGACGCGAAGCTGGGCGACCTGATGACCGTCTCCATGCTGAAGTACGAACCTGACTGGCCCGCCCTTGTGGAGATGTGGAGAGGCGCGAAGAGGAGGCGTCCAGCCAAGGATGTGGTGATGGTGCATGCGCAGAGGCCCGTGAAGCGCACGAAGAAGACCCTTGCGATGCTGGCCGCGAAGCAGGCGGCAGCAACAGCAGCAGCAGCAGCAGATGCTGCTGCTCGTGAAGCAGCAGCTGCAGAAGAAGCAGCCAGGCTAGAGGAGGAGTTGGGCCCCTGGCAGAGACGGGCAGGCCACGACAAAGTGCACATGGCTTCAGATTCAGAGCTAGACGGGGACGGTGAGGAAGATTATTCTCATGATAGCGATAGTGAATCCTAGTTCGTTTTCTTTGTATGGTTATCTGTAGTAATAGAGTATAGTATGTGTGTAGAGTAGACTACATAGTTAAATAAATGTCTGATTTCGTAAAAATCTGTCTGAGCGGACATACTAACTTAGAAAATCCGTCTGAGGCAAAGACCACCAGGAATCCTCCATATGAGGGCCAGACGATTTTTTTTTTTTTTGGAAAACGTCAGACGGGCCTAAAAGTTAGCAAGAGCCCTGGTTGCACCAGGCTTTAACTGCACCTGCCATCGAATCTCCCAACATCAATCCTGCCACACCTGGTCTGCCATCACCACCATCAGCAGCAGTAGCAACCTGTGTGCAACAGCATGATAGAATCTTCTCATACCAAACAAATCTTTTGAATTAATTTAAGTGTTTGAGAACCGCATGATCCTCAACTATCTACTACTTCGCACTCATTTACAGTAACTAAGCCTCAAAACCTCAGACACCGGTGCTTTCCCTGGCACTTCTAAATCAGCCCTCCCTTACAGCCAAAACTGCTTAAGCAGCAGCACAAGGAGCAGCAGCCCCAGCAATGCCACTGCCACCACTAGCACCCACACCAGTTCCCCCAACAACACCAGTACCAGAAGAGCACTAGCACCACTACCAGCACTCCAAGCAACACCACCACCACTGGCAGCAGCATCAGCGTCAGCGCCTCGTCCCTGGAGCAGCTCCGGCTGCAAGCACTGATAAAACAGAAAACACCCATGATCCGTGTTACTCCAATAATCCTGTGAAGTCCCGAAGTACGTCTGCACAAGCGACTCACTTATCTGCTCCACGATCGCATCCAGGTCAGTCAGCTCTCATCAGCAGGAGAAACTGCTTCAGCAGCAGCAGCAGCAACGGCATTGCCACCAGTAGCAGCAGCACTGGTACCAGCACTACGAGCAGCAGAAGCAGATGCAGGAGCACTAGCAGCAGCAGCAGCAGCATCTGCACCCGGTCCCTGCAGCAACTCAGGCTGCAAGCACTGATAAAACAGAAAATACCCGTGGTCCGTGTTACTCGAGTAATCCTGCGACGAACCGAAGTACGTCTGAACCAGCGACTCATCTATCTGCTCCACGTTCTCATCGTCGAAAAACAACCAGTGGCTGTGGCTCTTCACGAGAGCCACGTAGTGCCCGTGGTTGGGCCCGCTCCCCACGTGGACTATCACAGCGAAGAGGGAATATTCAGCCTCGGCGCCAGGCGCGTCGTCGACGGTGTTGCAGAGGCGCAGGTGGAGCGGGAAGACGACGCGGTAGGAGAGCTTCTTGTAGCGCCCCAGCTGCTCCATGAACTTGAAGCGCTTCAGGTGCAGGGCTAACACGCGGGGAGGCACCTTGATGCGCATCCGCTTCTGCGCCTCCTGTAAGCTGGATGAGGGGGAGGGGGAATGGGGGGAGGAGGTGAGGTGCAGAGGAGAGCTTCTTGTAGCGCCCCAGCTGCTCCATGAACTTGAACCGCTTCAAAATAGCACGTTTACTTGATCCACAAGGCTCCCTCACCCCACCTCTACAAGGCAAACCCACGCCCACCTGCAGCAGGTGTCACAGACAAACTTTTTGCTGCCGCTTAAAATTTCTGAGACTCTGCAACCACCCCTCAAAATAGCAGCATGCGGACCACATGCTGATACCCCTCAAAACTCACCTGCAGCATACCCACATGCTGACAGCATGTGTCCCTATCCCATCCTCACCAGCAGCACGTGTCACAGAAGAACTTGTCTTTGCCGATGAGAGTCTCTGTAGCGGAGAAGCTGCGCAGGCAGCTGGTGAGACTGCCACCTGCTGACTTGTTAAAAGCATGCCCTGTCCTACCAGGTTCCCTATTCAGCGCCCACCTGCAGCACGTGTCGCAGAAAAACTTGTCGTTGCCATTCAAAGTCTCTGTGGAGGAGAAGTTGCGAAGGCAGCTGGTGACACTGCTGTTCTGCTCGATGTCCAATGAGAGGTCCAGAAACGCCTCGTCCCGAGCAGTCACTGTTTCACAGCACAAACAACGGGTTTCGTTTGTCAAGGTGCCCTGGATAGGGAGAAGGGGGAGGTGGGAGGGGGAGGGAGAGAGAGGAAGGAGGTTGTGCAGGCAGCTGGTAGCGCTGCTGTTCTGCTCGATGTCTAAACACAAGTTTAAGAAGGCTTCATCTCTAGCAGTCACCGTCTCACAGCACAGGCAGCGGGGAACGGGGAAAGCAGGGAAGTGGGGTGACAGAAAGAGGGTGTGAGGTTGTGCGGGCAGGTGGTGGAGCTGCTGTTCTAAGTTGATTCTTGAGTCGACTAATAAATCGACTTACTACAGCTGGTGGAGCTGCTGTTCTGCTCGATGTCTCAGGAAAGATACAGAAAGGCTCCATCTCTAGAGGTCATTGTTTCACAGCACAGGCAGCGCGTTTCATTCATCAACGACGAGGGGAAGAGGCGGGGGGAGGAATTAAGGGGGGACAGGAGATGTGAAGGAGTGCTGGCGTTGCGCAGGCAGCTGGTGGCACTGCTGTTCCGCACCAAGCTCAAAGACAGGTCCAGTAGGGCCTCATCCCGTGCCACCGCTGTCTCACAGCACAGGCCGCGCGTCTCATTCGTTAACATGCCCTCGGGAGGGAGACGGGAGGGTGGGAGGGAGAGGGGGGTGGCGGGACGGTGGGAAGGGGAGGCAGGAGAAGGGAGGGTGGGAGGGGGAGGCGGAAGAAGGGAGGGCGGGAGGGGGAGTGGGAGGGAGGAGAGAAGGTTGCGCAGGTAGCTGGTGACGCTGCTGTTCTGCTCGATGTCCAATGAGAGGTCCAAGAAGGCTTCATCTCTAGCAGTCACCGTCTCACAGCACAGACAGCGTGTCTCGTTTGTTAGTGTGCCCTGTGAGGGAGACATTTGGGTGGAGACGGTGAGGGGGGGGTTGGGAGCGTGGGAGGGGGAGGCAGAGGAGGGGGAGAGAAGGTTGCAGAGGCAGCTGGTGACACTGCTGTTCTGCTCGATGTCCAATGAGAGGTCCAGAAACGCTTCATCTCGTGCAGTCTCCGTCTCACAAAACAGGCAGCGCGTCTCGTTTGTTAGTGTGCCTTGGAGTAAAGGGGATCGGACAGTGGAAGCAAGGACACGGACACACGGGGTGTGACGTTGTGACGATACAGCTGAATTGTCTAGACTGTTAACTTTAGCCCAAGTAGCACCCACCCCAGCAGCACCCACCCCAGCAGCACCCACCCCAGCAGCACCCACCCCAGCAGCACCCACCCCAGCAGCACCCACCCCAGCAGCACCCACCCCAGCAGCACCCACCCCAGCAGCACCTACCCCAGCAGCACCCACCCCAGCAGCACCCACCCCAGCAGCACACACCTGGAATATCTCATGCACCCATGTCACCACCGTCGGTTTCGCCCCACTGCCACCCCCACCAGCAGCAGCAGTCCCAGCTGCTGCTGTCCCCCCTGCCCCAGCTGCTGCTGCTACTGCTGCTGCAACAGCTGCAGATGCAGTCGCAGCTGCAGCAGCAGCAGAACCCAAACTGGCGGATGCCCCATCCGCTGCTGCTGCTGCTGCTGCTGCACTCGCCCCTCCCCCATCGCCCTCCCTCCCCTCCCCGGCTCCCTCACTCCCTCTCGCCCCTCCGTCAGACCTAACAGCAGCAACAGCAGCAGCACCACCTGAAGCAGCAGCAGCAGCAGGGGCAGCGGGAGCAGCAGCAGGGGGGTTGGGGTGGATAATCCTCCCCGCCTCTGCTCTGCCTGCCCGTGCCTCCTTCTCGAGAATATCAACGAGCTCGTTGAGAAGGAAGTTGAGGAACTCGTGTGCGTCCTGCCAGGCACAGCAGACAGGGCGAGAGACAGGGCGACAGGGGGACAGGGCAGGGGTGGCAAGTGGGTACATGGCGCATCCTCTCCGCCCTGCCTGCCCGCGCCTCCTTCTCTAGAATGTCCACAAGCTCGTTGAGAAGGAAATTCAGAAACTCGTGTGCGTCCTGCCAAGCACAGGAGACAGGGCGACAGGGCAGGGCCGCAGGGGTGGTCAGGTGAGAGGAGTGTAAGGCGCTGCAAAATCCTTCTCTAGGATGCCCACGAGCTCGTTGAGATGGCCATTCAGGAACTCATGGGCGCCCTGCAAGCGACAGCGCAGCAGGGAGGCAGGGCAACAGGGCGGCAGGGCGGCAGGGCAGGGCCGCAGGGGTGGCAAACGGGTAAGCGGAAAGTAAGACACTGCAGCCTCCTTCTCCGAAATGTGCACGAGCTTGTTGAGAAGGGAAATGTGCACGAGCTTGTTGAGAAGGGAAATGTGCACGAGCTTGTTGAGAAGGGAAATGTGCACGAGCTTGTTGAGAAGGGAAATGTGCACGAGCTTGTTGAGAAGGGAAATGTGCACGAGCTTGTTCAGAAGGGAAATGATGAACCCATAGGCTAGGAACAGGGACGATGTTATGGGAGTAACACCAGGGCACAAGGAAATAGTGCCAGAAACTTCACCTGATATATTATTTTCGCCGTTTTCGATTGATGACTGAAATATCACCTCATGTCTGACATTTCACCTGATGCCCAAGATTTGCGCTAATTTCTGTTTTTTCACCTGATGTCTGGAATTTCACGTGATGCCTGAGATGTCACCTGTTGGCTGAACGTTTATCTGATTTCACCTGGTGCATGCATTTTCACTTGACGCCTGAACTTTCACCTGATGCCTGAAGCTTCACCAGCTGCATGCATCTTCACCTGATGCCAAAATTTCACCTGATGCCTGAATTTTCACCTGGTGCATGTAGCTACGAAAGAGCTCCTTCTGCTTCTTCACTCGCTGCACAAAGCGGCGCGGTGCAATGTCCCCCGTCTTGCGCTTCTGTGAGTTGATCTGCCGTGGGGCAAGCAGAGAGGGAAGAGGGGGAGAGTGTTGAGGCAATGAGGAAAGGAAAAGACGTGGGTTGAATCAAACGCACGAAGCGGCGCGGCCGAATGACCCGTCTTGCGCTTCTGCGAGTTGATCTGCAGAAAGGGAGAGAGCAGAGAGAGGTGGTGGGGGGGGGAAAGAGTGATGGAGTGATGTATGGCAATAAGGAAAGGTGGATGACCCAAAAGCAGGAGGTGGCGCGGCGCTATGACCCCGTCTTGCGCTTCTGCGAGCTGATCTTCAGAAAGGGAGCGAGCAGAGAGGAAGAGGGGTTGGAAGGGCAAGTTGCGAGGAATCATGACAGGATGACGACTCATGAAAGTGCATTACAGATGCATCTTAATATGAGCCTGGAGCACACCTGACAATTGAGTCGACTCAAAAGTCAGCTCCTTACAGATGCATCTTAAAATAAGCCTGGAGCACACCTGACAAGCACTTGTTCAAGAAAGAAAGGTGTACCTGGTGAGCTGAGACTGAGGCATACCTGCAAGCCGCATCCAAACCAAACCAAACCACACCACACCACACCACACCACACCAAACCACACCACACCACACCACACCACACCAAACCACACCACACCACACCACACCTGGTCGAAGAGCTCTCCCCGGACTCGTTGGCAGGCTTGTGCTTGGCGCAGTAATCCAGCAGGTGACTGAAGCTAGCTCTTGTCTCGACTCGAAAGGGATTGCGCTTGGTGCGTGGGAGTCCAACAGAGTAAGGTGCAACGAGCGTGCGGCGTACCTGGTTCACTGAGAGTGAGGCGTACCTGGTTCACTGAGAGTGAGGCGTACCTGGTTCACTGAGAGTGAGGCGCACCTGCTTCACTGAGAGTGAGGCGTACCTGATTCACTGAGAGTGAGGCGTACTTGGTTCACTGAGAGTGAGGCATACCCGGTTCACTGAGAGTGAGGCGCACCTGGTTCACTGAGAGTGAGGCGTACCTGATTCACTGAGAGTGAGGCGTACCTGATTCACTGAGAGTGAGGCGTACCTGGTTCACTGAGAGTGAGGCGCACCTGGTTCACTGAGAGTGAGGCGTACCTGGTTCACTGAGAGTGAGGCGTACCTGGTTCACTGAGAGTGAGGCGCACCTGGTTCACTGAGAGTGAGGTGTACCTGGTTCACTGAGAGTGAGGCGTACCTGGTTCACTGAGAGTGAGACTCACCTGGTTCACTGAGAGTGAGGCGTACCTGGTTCACTGAGAGTGAGACTCACCTGGTTCACTGAGAGTGAGACTCACCTGGTTCACTGAGAGTGAGACTCACCTGGTTCACTGAGAGTGAGGCGTACCTGGTTCACTGAGAGTGAGGCGTACCTGGTTCACTGAGAGTGAGACTCACCTGGTTCACTGAGAGTGAGGCGTACCTGGTTCACTGAGAGTGAGACTCACCTGGTTCACTGAGAGTGAGACTCACCTGGTTCACTGAGAGTGAGACTCACCTGGTTCACTGAGAGTGAGGCGTACCTGGTTCACTGAGAGTGAGGCGTACCTGGTTCACTGAGAGTGAGACTCACCTGGTTCACTGAGAGTGAGACTCACCTGGTTCACTGAGAGTGAGACTCACCTGGTTCACTGAGAGTGAGACTCACCTGGTTCACTGAGAGTGAGGCGTACCTGGTTCACTGAGAGTGAGACTCACCTGGTTCACTGAGAGTGAGGCGTACCTGGTTCACTGAGAGTGAGGCGTACCTGGTTCACTGAGAGTGAGACTCACCTGGTTCACTGAGAGTGAGGCGTACCTGGTTCACTGAGAGTGAGACTCACCTGGTTGAAGAGCTCTGCAAGGCACGTGAGGAGCGTCTCCTCGGACTCATTGGCTGGCTTGTGCTTGGCGTAGTAGTCCAGTAGGTGCTCGCGGAATGGCACACAGAAGTAGAGCGCCTGGAGTGGGTGGTGTGGCGTGGTGTGGTGTGGTGTAGTGTGGTGGTAATGACAAATTACACACAAAAGATAATGAACAAATGCAGGGCTTTCCAAGCTTGTGCTTGGCGTAGTAGTCCAGTAGGTGCTCGCGGAACGGCACACAAATATACAGCGCCTGGAGGAAGGGTTAGTGCAGGGTGAGGCAAAGATGTTACTTGTGCACCACCAAGGAAAGGAGACTCTCTTTTGACTCGTTGGCAGGCTTGTGCTTGGCGTCGTAGTCCAGAAGGTGCTCGCGGAACGGCACACAGAAGTAGAGCGCCTGGCGAGAGGGTTAGTTTGTGGCGTGGCAGGTAGGGGGGATGAGGGTGGGGAGTTAGGTTGTTGAGTAGGTAAGGAGACCCTTCGGACGTTGGAGGGCTTGTGCTTGGCGTAGTAGTCCAGCAGGTGCTCGCGGACCGGCACACACAAGTACAGTGCCTTGACTGGGTCATGTGATATGGTCCAGTGCGGTGCAGTGTGGTGTGGTGCGGTGTGACGTGGTGTGACGAGGAGGTGAAGAGGTGAGAATTTGTGCCCCTCCAAGGTAAAAGGAGCCTCCTCGGACTTATTCGCAGGCTTGTGCTGAAAGTAGTATTCCAGCAGGTGCTTGCGGAACGGCACGGCACGGCACACAGCAGCAGATCCTCCTGTCCCCCTCGGGGAAACGAACGCATCTGCCAGCGCCCAAATCACCTTATAGCACCTACCGTGTGGACCCACCCACCTGCAGCACGCTGTTGCAGCAGCACGCTGTTGCAGCAGCACGCTGTTGCAGCAGCACGCTGTTGCAGCAGCATGCTGTTGCAGTAGCACGCTGTTGCCGAATGTGCCTGAACGCACCTCAAAGAACCTACAAGCACCTTCACGCACCTAGAAGCACCTCCAGTCCAGTCCAGCGTGCCTCACCTGCAGCACGCTGTTACAGTGGCATTGAATACCGAATGTGCCTACACGCAACTGAAAGCACCTACGAGCACCTTATAGCACCTACCGTGTGGACCCACCCACCTGCAGCACGCTGTTGCAGCAGCACGCTGTTGCAGCAGCACGCTGTTGCAGCAGCATGCTGTTGCAGTAGCACGCTGTTGCCGAATGTGCCTGAACGCACCTCAAAGCACCTACAAGCACCTTCACGCACCTAGAAGCACCTCCAGTCCAGTCCAGCGTGCCTCACCTGCAGCACGCTGTTACAGTGGCATTGAATACCGAATGTGCCTACACGCAACTGAAAGCACCTACGAGCACCTTCACGCACCTAGAGGCACCTCTGGTCCAGTCCAGCGTGTGGTGTGGACCCACCCACCTGCAGCACGCTGTTGCAGTAGCACGTGTTGCCAAAGTTCTCCAGCCCAAAGTACCTCTCCCCCTCAGGAAACGCATCTCCCAGCGCGCGCTCTAGCTTCGACCCCGACCCTCCAATGATGGTGTTGAACACCTGTGTGAGGTACAGGGGGTTCGGTATGGTAGGTTCACCACAAGGGGAGTTCAGGCATGCGTCCGCTAGAGCGGGGAACCCTGACCCCCCCCATGATGGTGTTGAACACCTGCCACGAGCGTGGAGCAATGAAAGGGGGTCAACATGGCAGGGGTTCACGCCTGGGCTCGACCCCAAAGAACCGCTCCCTTTCGGGGAACGCATCTCCCAGCGCGCGCGCGCTAGCTTGGACCCCGACCCCCGATGATGGTGTTGAACACCTGTGCGTGGGGAGGAAAGGGGCTCACACACACATGGCACATGGCAACGGGGTTCATGCATACGCTCGTGGCTCGGTCGCTCTAGCTTGGACCCCGACCCCCCGATGATGGTGTTGAACACCTGCGAGGGTGGAACGATCGAGGGGGTCCGTGCAGGAACCAACGAGGGGAGTGACACACAGCAAGGGGGTTCATGCATGCGCGTGCCCTAGGTTGGACTCCGACCCCCCGATGATGGTGTTGAGCACCTGCGAGTGTGGAACGATCGAGGGGGTTCGGTAAAGGTGGAACGCCTTTGAAGGCACTTCAAGATCTTTCTCCTGTCTCGCGGTTTTGAGCTAGCTCTCCTCCTGACTTTAGAGTCGACTCAAAAGTCAACTCAAGATATTTCTCCTGTCTCGCGGTTTTGAGCTCTCCTCCAAGATCTTGCGCACTTGTGAGCTGCTCACACTCACCCTGGCGAGCATGATGCGCGCTGTGCGGCGAACCAGGACGCGCAGGTAGACGAATAGGTACACCAGGCCTGAAAAGGCCGGAAACAGACCCTCGATCCGCTCCGTCGCACCCGCCGCACTCGCCGCCAAAAGGTGCCAAAGGCTTGTAAGGGAGAGGTATGGGCGGCGGCTTGAGGAATCTGGAATAATGGCGTCAATTTCGTCCGCCGCAACCGGCGCCAAACCGCGCTTCGTCGTATGAGAAGGACGAGCTATTGCTACGCGTGAGAGGAAACATAAAAACCAAGTGAACTCGCTTGGTGAGTTCCAAACCCGGTCTCTTGCTGAAAAAACAAGTAAACCCTATCGCGTGTCTCTGCCAAGATTCCTCCAAGATTCCTGGAGCCTGGTCGGGTATGGGAGGTGACAAAGCTGTCAGCGTGTTGTGACACGTGGATTATGCGGCTGTCAAGGTAGAATGTAACTGTGACCCCGGAGCAAGCGTGCTGCAGGTAGTAGAGTCGTGCAGAATCTATGCAGGTATCAGGTAGAATCTCTGTCCCTCTGCGTGGTCACAGAAATTCCTGTGTGATAAAATAATCCCCTGCCAGAGTTTCTAGCGTCTCAGTCGGTCAACGGTTTAAAATCGCCGGGATGCCTTCCTCTTACGAGCTCTTACGCGCGCGAACCGCACAGGCACGAGACGTCTACTTTCTACTACGCGACGGCAGTCTGAATTCGCAGCAGCACCCGACAAGCCAGATGGCTGATAACAGGCGGAACTAAGCTTTGAGTCGACTCACAACAAAAGGCCGAGCCAGCGACGACTACCTAAAAATGTTGGAGACGCCTGCCAAGAATTTTACGACAGATGGAATCTTTGGTGCACTCCACACGGCATAAAACTGAGGAACGCGTGAGTCAACAAACTCATGAACTCTTAATATTCAAAGGCTTCGTGACACCTATGAAAAAAGAATATAATGTCCGAAAAACTCGTCGCAGAACTCGCGGTGCGCACTGGTTCGAGTCCAGGCGTTTCCTAACTCGCAGATAATCTACAGAGAAAGCGCCTCGCTGTGTTGCGATCAGAGTTTCAGTACATTCCTAAATTCCTAGATTCTGTCAGGCTGGTGGTGCTGGTGGAAAACGAGGGGGGATTGTCGAATACGATATGTGGAATACCTCGATTGCATCAACAGTTCTGACTACATGCAAACCAATGAAACCATATGCACTAGGATTTCAAGATGTTAGTACCGTTCTTCAAGATGCAAAATTAGAGAACGGTACTTCTAATGTGTAAACGAGTTGGGTCTAAGATCTGATCAGGATAAGGGCAGATGCCTAAGATGTGATATATTTATTAGAATATGTACAGTGATCAGCTACCAGTAGTTTGGTTAGCCTAATTTACAAATATACCGAATGTCTGTACCATGTGCTACCTATCAGGCATCAATCAAAGAAGGTTCTAACTTGCACCATCTTATTGAAGCGCACGCGCCGTTTGTTCTTAGGCGACTGACAAGAAGACAGCCTGCTTGCATCATAGGTGCTGCCAGCAGGGATGGGAATCGCATGACTTGGTATTCCCGGGCCCGAGCTCTTGTCGTTTCGCATGATGCTCTTTGACACGCCACTGCCGCTTGTAGCCTGCACTACAATTGTGCCCTTGAGATCCCCGCTTGTGCATGTATCAGAAGCTGCTCCTCCTCCTACTGCTGCCTTAGCAGGAGAACTGGAGGAGGTAGCATTGCAGCTTGACTGCATAAAAGAATCTGGGATAGAATAACGCCCTGATGCCAGCAGGCCAGCGACGGGTCTTGATCGCGACGATCTAGAGGTAGGTTTTGATGGTGACGGCAGAGAGACAGGCTTTGAGGATGAGAGCAGGGACAGCGGCGGAGGAGACAAGGGAGGAGGAGAGAGGGGTTTTGACGGCGATGAGGAGGCGGAGGAGGCGGAGGAAACGCCTCTGCGAGGCGACTTCAGAGAGCTTGTACCTGCATCGCAGGGAGTCTGCTTTCCAGCTGAGCGTGCTCGTCGTAACCCATGCGGTGACTGTACAGCCATGTAGGCTCGTCGGAAAAGCACCGGTGATGAGGGAGTCGGTTCATTGCCCTGCTTCACTGTACTGGCCTGAGCCTGGCTTATTGAAGCGGCCTGCTCAGTCACTCCATAATACCCCATCACGGCTTCCACAGACCGTGTACGCCTGTGCCGGGCCAGGCGCCGTCGTGCCAGGGTTTCAGAGCCATGGCTCTGGCTTTGCCGCGGCCATATGGCTTCAGCAGGAGGCGGTGACGTCGCAGAAGCAGCAGCAGCAGCAGTAGCTGCGGGAAGTACAGGATATCGAGCTGCAATGGCGGGCGTGGGGTTGAGAGACGATGACATAGCAGCAGCCGCAGAAGCAGCCGCAGCAGCCGTCACTGTAGAGGGGCGCGGCACGCGTGGAGGATAATCAATATCCCCGTCATAAGCACCATCCAGAGACTCCGGTGCGCCACAAAATCCGCATTCGCCCGGAATTTCTTGAAAGCCACTGAACGAGTGCCAGCGGCGGTGGCGGAACCCGAGCGTCGCGCTGGGGCCTTCGCGCGGGCTGCGCGGAGCGGAGGCGTGGGGCGGAGATATGGTCCCGCGCCAGCGACGGCTGGCGCCACGTCAGCAGGCGCGGCGGCTGTAGAAGCGTCCACGCGAGGGGAAGATTTTAGCGCGCCTGGATCACTCAAGAAACGAGCCATCGCGACCGTTGACGCCAGACGTTCCGACGGATCTAGGCCGTCAATTCGGACCGCAGGCGGTGAAAACGAGCCGTTGACGTGGTAGCGACGAGCTGTTGATGACGCGACCGCAAGCATGGCTGCTCAAATTGTCGGACGCAGTGGTAGTATTAATGGTAGCGCAGTGGAGACAATCAGCTTAGACGGCGACGGATAAGAAAACGGTAGTTTCCAGATGTAGAACCGCGCCGGAGAAAAGAGTTTTCAAGTGAGTGAGCTGAGAGTTGTAGGAGCTTGTAAACAGAGAATGCACGAATGGGTGGTTCTGCGTTTCCCTTTGTACTACTTCGATCCGTCGCTTCAAGGTCAACTCCGCGCGGGCGACCAAGATGGCCGAATGCCGAATGACGGAACGCCCGAACGCCCGGAACATCGGCTGCCCGAAACGTCGGCTGCCCGAAAGGCGCGAAGGATATCCCTCGCTCTCCTCGCCGCCCGGAAACCAGAACGTCGGCTGCCCGTAAGGCGGCGGGAAGGCATCCCTCGCTCGCTTCGGGATTCCCCTCGCACTAAAACAGCGAAGAGGAGTCAGTCTCGCTGGCGGAATCTTCGTACTATAGATACGATGACCTGGGATTCGATCCATTGCGATCGCCATAACGGAAAGCGCGCGGCAGAAGCTGAATCTATGGCGCTAACAGTACAGCGAGGTAAGATTAGCCTCACGCCTTCAGATACTCTCAGCCTGAGCAGAAAATATCAATCATAGAGTCACTTGCGAAAAGTTGTTTATGACCCGATAACAGAAGGTACTAGAAGCGCAAAAGCTGCCGATGTGGGAAAAATCATTACGGGAGAGGGTTGCGTAGTGTATCTATCTCAAAATGCTGCCATTGCCTCTAAGGGTGCTTAGCCTAGATGCTAGACCAAGTGGGAACTTGAGGACAGACTGGAACCAGGTTAGGCAGCAAAAAGGCAACGAGCAATGCGCTCCGTGATTCGTCGCCAAAAGCTGCCTGACTGAAACGGCGGAATCGCCAGGTATACCATATCTGTCCACGGCACTTTACCTCACCACAGTCAAGGCAAGAGAACTATGGGTCCCCTAATCGCCAGGTGTAGGTTGATCGACGTGGATAGTTTCTGCACACAGAAAACCTGGCTGTCTTCGATTGAGGACTGACGGGGTTTGACAACTTCTTGCTCACAAGGCTTTGCTGGGCTGGTGTACTGTAGGGCGCTTTGTGCGGGTCACCCCCACCCCCACGGCGAGAGTGAGGTGTTTGGCAAGATGCGTGATTCTGGAGTTGTTGTTGGTGGTTTTGGAAGGTGGTGATGGTTACCCATGGGTGAGGAGGACATGAATTTGTGTTGTGTGTTTCTCGGTGGCGTATCATGAATCAACAAGCATCTGGAGAGAAATGTCAACTCCGTCAAGAAAGGGCACGAACATCATCTTGAGCAACGAGACGACCTCCAATGGTTGCTCTTAAAGCCCGAGTACAACATGGTATATTTCAAGTTCAAGATTCTTGAACTTGAAGTCGCAAATAAACAGGGTAACCCTCTTTGGTTTGAAACTCAACTCGCGACCCCGGGAAAACCTCTTGCGACCCTCACTCCTGGTTGGTTTCAGTGACCAGTCGCACGACAGACCCGTCCATCGCCCACAATATTGCCCGGATCACCTCTCACATATCTTGAAGACCAAGTAGTACTTCTAGTCCACTATGACACACGTAACTAGGAAACGGGCCGCTGGGCGACAAAAGCACCCTCAAGGGTAGGCGTTTTTTTACGGACAACACTAGTCCCTCACGCTGTCTGTCCAATCGCTGCGTAGCACAACTGCCTGCCAAACTCCCCCGCACCGTGCCTCTTTCGAATGCCAGACACGGTACGTCCGTGCTAGTGCCCCACACGCGCAAGGCTCCCTAAAATGGCATGAGTTGCCACACTCGCTGCTTGTAGGATGTCGTGTGCGCTTTACCCACGTGAGACTCGCGGAAAAGCGATTCCCGCGCTTCATCACGTCGCCCATACTTGCTGGAGTCACGATATCTACCACTCGTCGCCCTCACTTCCTTTCGTCGCCCGCGCTTCCCACCGTCCAGCGCTTCTCTAGGTTGCCCGCGCGCGCTTCTCCTTGACGCCCGCGCGCGCTTCGCCCGTTTTCCCGCGCGCGATTTTCCACTCCATTTTCACCCAGAGGGTGCAGGACACAGGGAGAGAGACAGAGGGTGCAGGACACAGGGGGAGAGACAGAGGGGGAAGGAGACAGGGAGATAGACAGAAGGGGAAGGACAGAGGGGGAGATACAGAGGGGGGAGGACATAGGGAAGGACCTCAGAGAGGTGAGCGCCACGCACCAGGTGAGCCTTCGCTTTCCCCATATGCCCCTCCTCTCCCTCGATCTCACCATCTTTCCTGTCCCACCCCATGTACCTTCCTCTGGCATCTGCCCCCGTTCCCCCCATCCTATCCCTTGTGACCCCTTATCCCCTGCCCTGTTTCCCCCATCCTCTGACCTGCTTCTCCACACCCTCTACCTGTTTCCCCCAATCCCCTTCCCTGTTTCCCCCAATCCCCTTCCCTGTTTCCCCCAATCCCCTTCCCTGTTTCCCCCCATCCCCTTCCCCGCTTCCCCCCATCCCCTTCCCTGCTTCCCCCCATCCCCTTCCCTGCTTCCCCCCATCCCCTTCCCTGCTTCCCCCCATCCCCTTCCCTGCTTCCCCCCATCCCCTTCCCTGCTTCCCCCCATCCCCTTCCCTGCTTCCCCCCATCCCCTTCCCTGTTTCCCCCCATCCCCTTCCCTGCTTCCCCCCATCCCCTTCCCCGCTTCCCCCCATCCCCTTCCCTGCTTCCCCCCATTCCCTTCCCTGCTTCCCCCCATTCCCTTCCCTGCTTCCCCCCATCCCCTTCCCTGCTTCTCCCCATCCCCTTCCCTGCTTCCCCCCATCCCCTTCCCTGTTTCCCCCCATCCCCTTCCCCGCTTCCCACCATCCCCTTCCCTGCTTCCCCCCATCCCCTTCCCTGCTTCCCCCCATCCCCTTCCCTGCTTCCCCCCATCCCCTTCCCCGCTTCCCCCCATCCCCTTCCCTGCTTCCCCCCATCCCCTTCCCCGCTTCCCCCCATCCCCTTCCCTGCTTCCCCCCCCATCCTCTCCCTCCCCATGTACAATCGCAAAGAGGAGGGGGGACGCACGCGCAACAGGGGGGCAGCGCAGCAGACTTGTGTGCAATCTCAGTGACCATTCACCCTCTCTTGCAGACCTTTTTGGACTGCAAGAGCAATCCGGAAGGAGGAGGGGGGACGCAGGTGCAACTAGGGGGCAGCGCAGCAGACTTAGGAACAGTGTCTGCTGCTGCATCCATGAGTTGATAAAGTCTGAGCTGAATGCTGAGATGTGTGCTTCTTTTTCTCTTCCCATTCCCCTCCATGCTTGCCGCCCAGCAGGTGCTGGAGAGCGGCGCCCAGGTGCTGAGCGACCGGGGAATCTGCTGCATTGATGATTTTGAAAACATGTCCAGTAATGCCTCGTTCAGCATATTGCCAGCGGCATGCTGCAACATACCCCCCACTCCTTTCATACTCCCCACTCCTCTCATACCCCCCACTCCTTTCATACTCCCCACTCCTCTCATACCCCCCACTCCTTTCATACTCCCCACTCCTCTCATACCCCCCACTCCTTTCATACTCCCCACTCCTCTCATACCCCCCACTCCTTTCATACTCCCCACTCCTCTCATACCCCCCACTCCTTTCATACTCCCCACTCCTCTCATACCCTCCACTCCTTTCATACTCCCCACTCCTCTCATACCCCCCACTCCTTTCATACCACCCACTCCTCTCATACCCCCCACTCCTTTCATACTCCCCACTCCTCTCATTACCCCACTCATTCCATACAGTGGACTCCCCCCACTCCTCTCATACTCCCCATTCCTCTCATACCCCGCACTCCCCTCGTACGCCCAACTCCTCTCATACCCCACAGTCCCCTCATACCCCCTGCTTCCCACCCTTGCACCCCTGCTTCCCACCCTTGCACCCCTGCTTCCCACCCTTGCACCCCTGCTTCCCACCCTTGCACCCCTGCTTCCCACCCTTGCACCCCTGCTTCCCACCCTTGCACCCCTGCTTCCCACCCTTGCACCCCTGCTTCCCACCCTTGCACCCCTGCTTCCCACCCTTGCACCCCTGCTTCCCACCCTTGCACCCCTGCTTCCCACCCTTGCACCCCTGCTTCCCACCCTTGCACCCCTGCTTCCCACCCTTGCACCCCTGCTTCCCACCCTTGCACCCCTGCTTCCCACCCTTGCACCCCTGCTTCCCACCCTTGCACCCCTGCTTCCCACCCTTGCACCCCTGCTTCCCACCCTTGCACCCCTGCTTCCCACCCTTGCACCCCTGCTTCCCACCCTTGCACCCCTGCTTCCCACCCTTGCACCCCTGCTTCCCACCCTTGCACCCCTGCTTCCCACCCTTGCACCCCTGCTTCCCACCCTTGCACCCCTGCTTCCCACCCTTGCACCCCTGCTTCCCACCCTTGCACCCCTGCTTCCCACCCTTGCACCCCTGCTTCCCACCCTTGCACCCCTGCTTCCCACCCTTGCACCCCTGCTTCCCACCCTTGCACCCCTGCTTCCCACCCTTGCACCCCTGCTTCCCACCCTTGCACCCCTGCTTCCCACCCTTGCACCCCTGCTTCCCACCCTTGCACCCCTGCTTCCCACCCTTGCACCCCTGCTGTCAGCCCTTGCACCCCTGCTGTCAGCCCTTGCACCCCTGCTGTCAGCCCTTGCACCCCTGCTGTCAGCCCTTGCACCCCTGCTGTCAGCCCTTGCACCGCTGCTGTCAGCCCTTGCACTCCTGCTTTTCTGCTTCAAGAGCAGCAGCAAGTCCCTCCAGAGATCCTATAGCTGCCACTGGTTCGTCTGCTCCTACTCTGAGCTACTACCGGTAAATTTTTTAGCCCTCAGGCCGTGCGCCTTCTATCCCACCCATGCATCTGCCATGTGTTGGCAGGCTAACTGGTGTGTCGATTCCAGTACTGTGGCTCACTTTACTGCGCATTGTGAAGGAGGTCCTTGTGAAATGCAAGTATAAGCCATCCTGAAGTAGTGTACATTGGATGCCAAGTGGTTACCTCGGCAATAATTTGCAATAAAGTGCAAACAGAGCTGGGCACTGACACCTTTGGAGTAAGATAGCTGTTACACATCATCATGGATGTATCCTTTTTGGGATACCAAACAAGCTAGTGCCCTAGGCAGAATGGAACATGAGCTGGATTAGGGTCTCAAGAATCGAAGCAATGGAGTAGTTTCACCGGGCTAACTTCATCCACACGTGTAACGTATATTGCAACTATTATATGTGCAAGTTTATTTCGCTCTTAGCATGATTAGGTTTAGGACAGAACGGCATAGTCCTCCAAACACATTCAAGCATGACATGTTCAAGACCACATTAGCACAGTGGGGATGGAAACACAACCCCATTTATTCATCCTGACCTGCCACCCACACCTCCACTTCCTCCCCGTCATAGTGGCCTGCTAGCCACCACTCATCACTATCGTCGCTCCACTCCTCCGCATCTTTTATCACTGCGTCTGCCACATCATCCCCTTGATCCGATGGCAATTCCGCCTTATCCCTCTCACAGTGGTAACCTGCAGCTATAGCCAATGAGAAGGAGGATAAGCCAGAATTTAGGGTGGTGTCCCTGTAGCTATGAATAATCTCACCCGCAGAGCATGGCAGGGCATGCCTGGAGGGGGGGAGGGAGAAGGGCGGAGCGGAGCATGACAGGGGAGGGCAGGGCAGGGCATGGCATGGCATGGGAGAGGCATGGCATGACGCGGATGGTGCAGACAAGGGCAGGGCGGGCCATGAGAAAGCAGGGCAGGCATGGCCCCTCTAGTCATGGCATGGCAGAAAAATGAGGGTGCTGACAAGGGCGGGGCGGGGCGGGACAGGGCATTGCAGGGCAGGACATGGCAGGGCAGGGCAGGGCAGGTCAGGGCAGGACAGGGCAGGGCAGGGCAGGGCAGGGCAGGGCAGGGCACGGCATGGCAGGGCAGGGCACGGCAGGGCAGGGCATGGCTGGCAGGGCAGGGCAGGGCAGGGAAGGGCAGGGCAGGGTAGGGCATGACAGGGCAGGGCAGGGCAGGGCATCTCCTGGAATAGCATGGCATGTTTAGTTGGAGCAGGGAAAGGCGGTGCGGGGCAGGACAGGGAAGATGGGGAGTGGCATGCTGAGGTGGAGTAGACAAGATCGAGGCGAGACCAAACAGGGCATGGTAGGGAATGGGAGAGCTGAGCAGGCCAAGTTATAGCATGGTGGGCGATGGGTGTTTGTCAAATACCTTTGGGGGGGTCGATTGTCGTGGTGGGCGTCGTGGTGGTTCTGCGTGATGCCGAGCAAGCCTCGCGCGGGTTTGAAAGCTCGCTTGATGTTCGCCTTGGGCACTTAGCGTGGGAGGTTCGACACATCACCTATAAGCAACATACAGATGGAGTGGAAGACGCGGATGGTGAACACATTACGCTGGCTAGAATGTTTACGTCAAGTATGAGCCAAACTGAGCAATAACAACTCACGTTGCGCTGCCGTTGCTTACCCAAACGACGGCGAGCAGATCCACGAGACGTGCCGCACACCGGACCGAACCCGCCTTGGCGCACTGGTGTCACTGGCTCAAGTACAGATGCTGTGGGCTGTGCGATCGATGCATCGACCAGCTGCGCAGCTGTTGCTGTTGATTCAGGCATCTCGTCAACATCCACATTATCTCCATGCCGCAGTGTTCGTTGCCATTCCTCCATGATGCGATCAACCCAAGCCCAATCCATTTTAGTCAAGATGCGCTCCTTGGATCCGCGCCTGATCCTCGTCACCTGTCGGACTCTAGTGCGATAGGCGGTCACCAGGCGATCCATGCCGTGATTCCAATGAAGAACCGCGAGACCGACTCGTGCCGGGAAGCTACCCTGAAACCGTATCCGCTTAGGTGCGTATTTGATGATCAAAGAATGGAAAGACTCGTTCAGAGAACTCGACGCGCCATGCACAAAGGACTTCACCTTCTCAGGGCTTAAGTGCTTGGAGAACCATGCACAAACCGCCTTGTGTGTCGACGACCCAAACTCATATATGGCATGGTCCTTGCCCCACCCCTCTCTGACGCAGCGAGGTGGGGTCTCTCCTACCCCAGTGCAGCCGGAGTGGTCACCGGCCCAGTGGTTGGGTGGGTTCCCAAGCTCCCTCGCCACGTCGGCCGGGGTCATAGGATGCCCCTCTTTCTTCTTCGCACCACATCGCACCATCACGTGATAGAAATGAGAGGATAAGCGTTGTGCCACAGTTTGTTCCTCCTTGCCAGAATCGATCTGATCTTCACCTCGTTTCCGCTTTCGGCGACCAGTCCACCGAGGTAGTGTCTCGGGCTCGCTGAACGCATTAGGGTTCTGCACTTCGGTATCAGCCCCGACTCCATCTAGCGCATCTGTGAATGTTAGAAAATGAAAGACGAAAACTGAGTATAGAGTAGCACTTGGATCAAGCATGCCCAAAACTTGGGAAGGGGTGTATGCATACCAGTCTCCGTGTCGGTGTTGGCCCAAGGAGTGGATCCACCGATGAAATGGGAGTTTCCGTTCGCGACAGCGTGCGCAAGCATGATGAGGGTGCTCGCCAAAGATGTCGGTCGCGCACCCTGCGTCGGGTGCACATCATACCTCCATAGCTCTTCCACGTCTTCCCACTAAACGTCAACGTTCCACTCCTCCGGTGTCGGCCTATCCACGGTAGCCCGCTCAGCTCGCTCATCCCGCTCCCGCACATCCGCATCAGAAGCACCAGGCACCTCACCGTAGGTCACAAGCACCTCCACCGGGCTACACTCCCCCCCCATCCGCACCACCTTTCTTAGCTCGGGAAACTTCCATTTCGCCTCTTCCGGGGTCATCTTCCTGTAAACAATCGTGCCCATGGCTTTACAAACGGCTTCCACCAAGTGCCCTTTCAGTGAGGCTTTCGACTCTTTCTCCAACCCCCGTGCTGTCAGCCATTGCCGTAGCCCATCGATAGTCGCAAGCCATAGATCCTCAATACAGGTTGCCTTGTCCACAGCCACTGGTGCACGGACCGCATCCTGAAGTTCTTTCAGAAACAACTTGTAAAGAGTCCGCTTCACATGCCACCAGTCCACCTGGTGGTTCAACCCCCTTTCGGACGCTGCCCCACAAAAAGTAGTCCCTTGGTCGGAGATGATCCCTTCCACTGTAAACCCTTTCTGCGCCAGTTCATCTAACCCTTTGTCGAAAGCCACCCTCTCCAGCCGCACCGAAGAAGTGTCGTCCACCCCTTTTCGTGTCGTCGCACAGTACACTATCTTTCTGGACGGCAAATCTAAGAACGATACTGTACACCACTCTCCCTCACGAACATGTGACCATCGACCATCGACCACTACATATTCTGTAGGGATTTCTCGCTTCATCATCTCTTCTCGTACCGCAGCCATAGACTTATCAAACTCTCTCAGTATAGCATTCCATAACCCATTATCATCACCAAGGTACTTGTAAAATGTGCCCTTCCCTGGTGCTGGCAAGCCGAAGTTGCGACAAAACTCCCACATTTGCTGATACCCCATTCCGGCTAAAGCAAATGCCCCGACAAATTTCGACTGTAGAATCGGAGAACGTGCGCCTACACCGGTTCGTGCTCTCTCGATACGCCGGCTCGGACATGACCAAAACTCTACACCATGCGAACACGCGTCGCATCTCCAAAACATGCCGACCGATGCCCATGAGAACTTCCATGACCTCAATGTCATCCCCTCACTACACGCTCGCTCATGTGAACACACCAATCGACACCCTTGGAAGAACCCAACCAACTGTCGAGGCTCGACAAGACATACCCGTTGTCCGTCGATGTCATCCACGCTCGGAGCAGAAGGCCAGTGCCTAGGGACACTCCCACGCGCAACTGCCCGTCGGTGGCTGTTGGCAGGCCTAGTGGACATAAAGAGGAGGGGAGTTTGGACATGGATACAACGACGTGTTTGATAGTGCACAATGACATTTTGCCATATTTAGCCACCGCACCCACTAATCTCACCCTTGCACTGGCCGTTCTGGAGTCGTCGTCACACTTCGTGCGGGCGCAGCCACCGCAGTATCTCCAGGCGCTCCGGAAACGCCCTCATCAGCATCCATGCCCACAGTGCCTACGGCTGGCGCATCTGGCAGTTCGGTCCCCATGACGTTGCCACTCCCTCCATGGTTGGCCCCTGAAACGTATTGGGAGTGTGGACGGGACGTCGTTTATTACTCACGTCCAAAACAAGCCAACTTCAGATGCATCTTCCAAATCTTACCGGAATTACGCGTCGCTGCTGCCGCGCCACGCCTGGCGCCTCCCCATGATCGACCGGAAACCTGTCGCAGTCTTCCGCGCGCATCATACTGCACCAGTGGGAAGGAGTATCTAAGCCCGGCCAGCACTCGATTGGGCCGTTGATGCAGGGCTACTACATCCTCCATAGTTCCTTTCGCGCGTTCTTTGAAGATGCGGCCGTACTCTTTTCGATGTCTTTCCACAATTACGCCGTTATGAGTGTCGTTTGAAGCAGGATCTGTGAGGCAGAGAATGTGCAGGCATGTGATACATTTCACGGGTGTAGGACATTCGACAGAAAGACAACCAGCACTTCATATCATGCACACATCACACGCTCGCCCAAACCTTGTGTCATACTTGCTGCTAGGCCCGCCTCAATAAGTCGGTTGGTCGCTTGGGGTGCTGACTCCGCCAAAAAGTGAATCACATCATCTGTCGTCGCCATCGTGGGCCCAAGGTACAATGCCGAGAGCCCGATGCGGAGAACACATAGAAGTGGCCGCATGTGGACCGAAATATTGACCGTTCCTCTCTGGGCATCCTTACATGCCTGTATTGCAGGATGCCCTCCCGCACCTACACCAACCCCTGCCATCTGAAAACATGTCAGCGCATACCCCGAGGAGAGGAAAGAGATGGGTGGTTAGGGCGTTGGCACAGCAGGGACAAGGATAAGGGCAACTTTAGATGTCTGCAGAAATGTGCAAATGCACGTCGTGCAGCACCGAGCGGTGAGTGCACGCAATAGAAAAAGGGCCCAAAGCACCAGAAACTCTGGTTGCTGCCGCCTGGGGACTGAACAGGTGGGTTTACAGTGGTGAAAGCAAGCCCAAGGCAGCAGCAACTCTGGTTGTTGCTGCCTGGGGACTGAACAGGTGGAGGCATGGTGCTGAAACCAGGTCCAAGGCAGCAGCATCCACGGTTGCTGCTGCCTTGGGACAGAACAGGTGGGTTTACAATGGTGAAAGCAAGCCCAAGGCAGCAGCAACTCTGGTTGTTGCTGCCTGGGGACTGAACAGGTAGGGGATGCTGAAACCAGGCCCAAGGCAGCAGCATCCAGAGTTGCTGCTGCCTTGGGACTGAACAGGTGGGTTAACAGTGGTGAAAGCAAGCCCAAGGCAGCAGCAACTCTGGTTGTTGCTGCCTGGGGACTGAACAGGTGGAGGCATGGTGCTGAAACCAGGGCCAAGGCAGCAGCATCCACGGTTGCTGCTGCCTTGGGACCGAACAGGTGGGTTTACAGTGGCAAAAGCAAGCCCCAGGCAGCAGCCACCAGAGTTGCTGCTGCCTGGGGACTGAACAGGTGGGGGATGCTGAAACCAGGCCCAAGGCAACAGCATCCAGAGATGCTGCTGCCTGGGACTGAACAGGTGGGTTTACAGTGGTGAAAGCAAGCCCAAGGCAGCAGCAACTCTGGTTGTTGCTGCCTGGGGACTGAACAGGTGGAGGCATGGTGCTGAAACCAGCCCAAGGCAGCAGCATCCAGAGTTGCTGCTGCCTTGGGACTGAACAGGTGGGTTTACAGTGGTGAAAGCAAGCCCAAGGCAGCAGCAACTCTGGTTGTTGCTGCCTGGTAACTGAACAGGTGGGGGATGCTGAAACCAGGCCCAAGGCAGCAGCATCCAGAGATGCTGCTGCCTTGGGACTGAACAGGTGGGTTTACAATGGTGAAAGCAAGCCCAAGGCAGCAGCAACTCTGGTTGTTGCTGCCTGGGGACTGAACAGGTGGAGGCATGGTGCTGAAACCAGGCCCAAGGCAGCAGCATCCACGGTTGCTGCTGCCTTGGGACAGAACAGGTGGGTTTACAGTGGTGAAAGCAAGCCCAAGGCAGCAGCAACCAGAGTTGCTGCTGCCTGGGGACTGAACAGGTGGGGGATGCTGAAACCAGGCCCAAGGCAACAGCATCCAGAGATGCTGCTGCCTGGGGACTGAACAGGTGGGCTTACAGTGGTGAAAGCAAGCCCAAGGCAGCAGCAACTCTGGTTGTTGCTGCCTGGGGACTGAACAGGTGGAGGCATGGTGCTGAAACCAGGCCCAAGGCAGCAGCATCCACGGTTGCTGCTGCCTTGGGACAGAATAGGTGGGTTTACAGTGGTGAAAGCAAGCCCAAGGCAGCAGCAACTCTGGTTGTTGCTGCTTGGGGACTGAACAGGTGGGGGATGCTGAAACCAGGCCCAAGGCAGCAGCATCCAGAGATGCTGCTGCCTTGGGACTGAACAGGTGGGTTTACAATGGTGAAAGCAAGCCCAAGGCAGCAGCAACTCTGGTTGCTGCTGCCTGGGGACTGAACAGGTGGGGGATGCTGAAACCAGGCCCAAGGCAGCAGCATCCACGGTTGCTGCTACCTTGGGACTGAACAGGTGGGTTAACAGTGGTGAAAGCAAGCCCAAGGCAGCAGCAACTCTGGTTGTTGCTGCCTGGGGACTGAACAGGTGGAGGCATGGTGCTGAAACCAGGCCCAAGGCAGCAGCATCCACGGTTGCTGCTGCCTTGGGACCGAACAGGTGGGTTACAGTGGTGAAAGCAAGCCCAAGGCAGCAGCAACCAGAGTTGCTGCTGCCTGGGGACTGAACAGGTGGGGGATGCTGAAACCAGGCCCAAGGCAGCAGCATCCAGAGTTGCTGCTGCCTTGGGACTGAACAGGTGGGTTTACAGTGGTGAAAGCAAGCCCAAGGCAGCAGCAACTCTGGTTGTTGCTGCCTGGGGACTGAACAGGTGGAGGCATGGTGCTGAAACCAGGCCCAAGGCAGCAGCATCCACGGTTGCTGCGGCCTTGGGACAGAACAGGTGGGTTTACAGTGGTGAAAGCAAGCCCAAGGCAACAGCAACCAGAGTTGCTGCTGCCTGGGGACTGAACAGGTGGGGGATGCTGAAACCAGGCCCAAGGCAGCAGCATCCAGAGATGCTGCTGCCTTGGGACTGAACAGGTGGGTTTACAATGGTGAAAGCAAGCCCAAGGCAGCAACAACTCTGGTTGTTGCTGCCTGGGGACTGAACAGGTGGGGGATGCTGAAACCAGGCCCGAGGCAGCAGCATCCAGAGATGCTGCTGCCTTGGGACTGAACAGGTGGGTTTACAATGGTGAAAGCAAGCCCAAGGCAGCAGCAACTCTGGTTGTTGCTGCCTGGGGACTGAACAGGTGGGGGATGCTGAAACCAGGCCCAAGGCAGCAGCATCCAGAGTTGCTGCTGCCTTGGGACTGAACAGGTGGGTTTACAGTGGTGAAAGCAAGCCCAAGGCAGCAGCAACTCTGGTTGTTGCTGCCTGGGGACTGAACAGGTGGAGGCATGGTGCTGAAACCAGGCCCAAGGCAGCAGCATCCACGGTTGCTGCTGCCTTGGGACAGAACAGGTGGGTTTACAGTGGTGAAAGCAAGCCCAAGGCAGCAGCAACCAGAGTTGCTGCTGCCTGGGGACTGAACAGGTGGGGGATGCTGAAACCAGGCCCAAGGCAACAGCATCCAGAGATGCTGCTGCCTTGGGACTGAACAGGTGGGTTTACAGTGGTGAAAGCAAGCCCAAGGCAGCAGCTCTCCTGGTTGCAGCTGTGTGCCTTTGCCTCGTGACACGTGAGCATGATAGGACCCCCAAGGCAGCAGCAACCGGTGTTGATGGTTGTTTGTGTGTGCCTTTGCCTCGTGACACGTGAGCATGATAGGACCCCCAAGGCAGCAGCGACCATTGTCGCTGTACTATAGTCGCAGTAGCAGGGAATTGGGCACTCACCTGGGCTATCCTCTCTAGCGATCCACAGGGGCGTGTGCTGCACCTTGCTCCCCATCACTCCGCAGTATCCGCTTGAGTTGTGCGCGCGGTGGTCGTAGCCAGGTCACCTGGAGGGCGCGCTTCTCGTCGCCGGGAACGCGGGCTCCGCGTCGTCTGGAACGCGGGCTCCGCGTCGTCTGGAACGCGGACTCCGCGTCGCCGGGAACGCGGGCTCCGCGTCGTCTGGAACGCGGACTACGCGTCGTCTGGAACGCGGGCTCCGCGTCGTCTGGAACGCGGGCTCCGCGTCGTCTGGAACGCGGACTCCGCGTCGCCGGGAACGCGAGCTCCGCGTCGACTGGAGGGCGGGATCCGATCCGCCTGAAATGCGGGATCCGCGTCGCGAGGAATGCGGGCTCCACGTCGCGAGGAATGCGGGCTCCGCGTCGCACAGAACGCGAGCAGCTAAATGTGGCGAGCGGGTGCTGCTCGGCGCTTGGTGCGCGAGCCGAATCTAGTCCGCTTTCTTCCCCCTGACTAGTCACAACGACTCCAATACGCTCGTCGTTTCTTGTTGTGCCTAGCTACCCGTAGTCTCCAGTCTGTCATCACGGCCTTCTTCCCGTTAGTGCAATCGCGCTTGCACGTTCCTACACTTTGCTGTTGCCAGCTCCTGCGATGGTCGGTAAGCTAGTAATCTGGGGTAAGGATCGTCTCGAACACGTTTCTGTTGTGGCGTTGATACCCAGCACGTGCTTTGCTTGCTCTGTTTTTCTATTTCCCGTTAGCATCGAGCTGATTCAGTGGTGAGGTGACTTCGGGTGAGCAACACTTTCCATGCTCGATGCAAGAGAGGATGTGTGAGAGAGGATGTGTGCGACACATTTGTCGCTTTGGGTTGGTGGGATTCGCAGGTTTGGTGAGTGCGAAATGTTCACTTGTTTGCGGCGGAAAATTGTTCTCGCCAAAGGCAGCCAACCGAAATAGGCTTCGCAGATCTCGCATACAGCCTATTTCAAATCCACATAACTTGATAATTTACCATGCTGACCCCGGGCTTTAACGTCGACATGTGACGAAACGGAGCTGTAGTGGCAGATTGAACATACAGATCTTATCTCAGCCCTCGGTTGTTCGAGCTAATGATTTTGGACGGTTTTCAAAGCCCGTTGTTTCTTGACGTTGTGTAAATGACGAATGTTGATGGACTATTTGAACATGGTGATGAGGGAGCGCCGTTGATGGTTGGTTCTTATAGACAACGGGCAAGGCGCAGGACCACTCACAGGGTGACACGACGTCCACCGAAAAGGCATTTTCGGCGTTATGTTGTCACCGTAAGCAGACCCAATTATCGCATGATATCTGGTCCCCGCTATTTTTGCCTTGTATGGTATTTCATTATATGTTACTGAACACCCAGAAAGACAAATTCGTGTATTGAGAAAGCTTGCTCTCTGTTCTTGCAATGGCAACGTGCTTCATTAGAATTGGGGTAATTACAGCATTCTCGTCCAACTATTAATTGTACATGTATATGACCAGGGTGGGTGGGTGGGGACTGTAATGTGAATTAAGAAAACAGGAAAGAAATGACTAAGTGAAAGTTGGGTACAAAAAGCAAACCCTAGAAAACTGTACCCCATATGTGCTACCCCACTATAGCCTACAGTAGCTATGTCATATAAATCTGACACATCCCCATAGGCAAAGTGGGGGAGAACAAGGGGTCACAGGACCAGTCAAGCAAAGCAAAACAAGCTCAGGGTGGATCACAAAGTCACCACACATTCCGAGCACAAGTTCAAGGCCACAAGGCCAGTTCACATGCAGGATTGCATATATATATATATAAGACTAGACAAGCAAGAGCAGGTGTATATATATATG